AGTTGCTTGATGGAGGAAGGTGGGAAGGGTGGGCCAACAGAAGCCCTACTGACGCCTTCCCCCAACAACTGCTGGTCGAGACAGAGGCGTGAAAGGAGGATCACAGTAACACGGAGACAATTCCATCTCTCGTCTAGCTCCCAACAAGAAGTGGTCAAAGGGCAACAACGAGGTCCACTGAAGACGGTCTGGAGTGAGGTGGACTCATGGCCTGACGAACGTGATGGTAGGCCTCTCCTCCCACCTCCTTGATTTTGGCCACTATGTCGCAGGCAGTTAAAGCCTCTCAACAATTGGCCTTTGACGAGGAGAGCAGTGGGAGTTTGTGCAAGGTCAGCACTCAATGGTCAACTCAATGTCAGAGTCGGAGGGGTTAATGTTTGTTTGCACTTTGGCACTACTTCAACTGCACATGAACGTGCAGTGGTCCACTTGAACGCTGACATGTCATAGCACCACAGGCATCGCCTGCCAAAACCCATTTCAGAGGTGATTGTGTTGAGGTTGTGGAGAGCTCTTCCTCGGCTCTACTCGTTCATCTCACAGTTACGAAATGTAAGATTAAGAGCCATGGATGCATGCATGCGATGCTCTAAAGGAATCACGTAATGCTGTTGCGGAAGTGTTCCTACACACCCACTGTTCATGTTAATGCCAAGGTTATTGCGCAGCTGGAATTTGAATTTATGGCGCATTTAGATGGGAAAACATCATCTTGTAGGACATCCGTTTAAATTGTAAGCAGTCAAGCCAAACTAGTCGACATCCCTTAAGGGCCGATATTTTGCCAAGACGGAAGGGCAAATGCCAGAGTAGGAGTTTAGTCATCCCAAAAATTTTTCCCTAGCTTTTTTAGACTCAACTTTTAGCCTCTCTTGGACCACCACAATTTCCTTAATAAATTAGTGCATTTGGTTCTGGAATAAATGAGAGGCATAGTGTCTTTTTCATCTGAAAATCCCTTAAAGAGGAAATTAAAACAAGTGAAGGGAACTGAGAGATGATTTTGAATTTGAGGACTGTGGAGAGTGCTAGTCTTTAAGCAGATGACAGCAAACTGTTTGCCGTGTACCAAATTCACTCCAGAGTCGGTAGTAGCTGGAGCAATTAAACAAGTTCATATAAAAGAATGTCAACATGTTAGGATACATGATTATCAAAGAGCAGCAAGTTAAGCCCATGAAAAGATGAATTTATTTAAACTCTTACAATGCAACTCAATAATTTACCACTGCTTATCGTTATGAGCACCACTACCAGCAAGAATGTTAAATGTTCACTTTTAAAAGGAAACATTTTAAATTATAAGCGAGGTATCGTTACGATGAATGGTAGGAAATTCATTGTGTTATATGCAATACCGCCATTTCGGGAAAAAATTTTGACCACCTTAAATTAGAGAATTATAAGCTCAACTGTGCCTATATGACGATTTAGCAACGCTGAATGTGGTGACAGTTTGTAACAAACAACATTGTTCGCGTGTTCTTGGGAACGGGGAAGTGAATCAGAGCAGAACACAAGAGAGTGGAATGAAAGATGCATTTCAGTTTAGCCTAGCACCTTGACGCAATGCGTAAACGAATTTGCATAAAGTGAATCGAAATTTAAGGGGCAAAAGAAGTAGAAGTGGATTAACAGTGATCGTGGCATGTGGTATTTTAAAAAATGTGTAATTTTGGATGCCTTGTAGTAACTGATTGCGTCAATTCATTTCCTCTGCCCATTCCCATCTACATGGTGCACAACTGCCATAACAGAATCAGGAATTGCAAGGCGCAATGAGTGATTAAAGCTGCATAAACGAACTAGCGTACATAAAACAGGTGGCTTCACAGCGCTACCATTTTGTCCTCAATTCATGCACCAAAAAATAAACAATGAAGGTTTAGCATTGAAAAATAAGGTGAACAAGTGACGAACCTGTTCTTTGGAAATTTTAAGTGGATCAGCGCAAACAATCCAGCGAACGCACTCAGCACATGGTGGTGTTGTGAGAGAACCCTCGTAGGTAAAGTAGTGATTCATGCCTAGGAAATGAATTGAGAATATGGAATAATAGTTAATAATGATCAAATCTTTGCTAAGATTTGGTTGCTTGTAATTCGGGTGCTACAGTGCATTGTCAGTGCTCTGGAATGTTCACGAGAGAATTTTAGTTAGGACCTTGAATACATTTTTAAGTGTGTCCCCTAGAAATTTCGATATTTCTTTTATTTCCAGTATTCTCTGTCCCGCAAAACTAAACGAATAACCTGTCGATTGATTTTGTCCAAGGATAAGTTCAGATGGGTATTTGTTAGTCATCTACCCTGCATTAAGTCAAAGCGTGAAATATGGTTTCGTGTGGTTAGCAGTGATGATTACGCCTCAATATTTCATAGCGCCCACCGATCAATATTTGGGATTTACATAAAGAAAAGACATTTGGTTAAACAATAAGCAATGCTTACTAGGAATAAGTGAATGAAGATCGATTTCAGTTGTAATGGGCTGTTCGCAACTAGATTTGGAGGATTTTATGGCTGCGATGAGTGGCTTCATTGCCTCACATTCCACATTGTCAGACTTCAATTTTTGAAGAAAAATGCCATTTAAAACGAAATCTCAATTAACCAATGTTACTAAATAAAAAGTAAATGTCACCTTGAGAAAAACGCCGATGACGCAAAATCCCTCAGGATCTTTGACGGCCTGATCCATTGTAGAGTATTTTTCGTTCATAAAGACCAAATGCAGTTCACCGGCAAAACTATGGCCATCAACATGATGCTCTGATCCCCATTCGTCCTCGCAGCCCCAATGGCAATGAAATTGCTGGAGGTTGTACTTGCCCTTAAGAGGGCCTCCTTCAACCGTCGTAGCTATAAAAAGCCAAAAAAATAAGTAGTGAGTTTTGGGCATATGGTAGAATACAAACGTCACAAACAGATCTAATAATAAACTCACCGTTATTTCCCTTAAATGAGACTTGGAAATTGTGTTTTTTGCGTGTAAAAAGCTGAGTGCTGTTATGAAACACGACCAACTTAAGCGAAGAGAGCTTAGGATCGTAGACGCAGTTGTGCTTCACAATGTTGATTGGAGACTGCCTAGCGCCGGCAGCAGCATGACAGGTTAAACACCAGGTATGGGGACCTAATGCAATTATCCATCAAAAGGATTTTACCATTCGTTGGCCCGTAACCGTAGTCTACATGTCCACAGGCAGTTGTCATCGTTGATTTATACCTCGCGTAAATTTTGCTGGGTTTTCACGTATTTTAAATGCCTGCGTCAATGATTTGGGGATTTTGCATTAATCGGCGAAATAAAACAAGACATTTGAAAAGTAATATGTAGGCATATTACTGGGTAAAAAATGCAAAAAAGTATTTGTCTTAATTATAAATAATGAATGTCTTTTATACTTTAATGATATTTATATCAAAAAATGGTTTGCAAACTAGCTCGACTTAACCAAATAAGTATATCGCAGCTGATTAGTGAAAATTTTCGAGTTTTATTTTATGTTATACTTTATTACCGGGTTTTGCCTAACGAGTTCACAGAAAAACTGAACATATTTCTAAATCCAACTCATGTATTAACGTATTTAATTTTGTTATATTTATAATTGTCTGACTGTTGTAGCATGTAGCATGAAAGACGGTAAGTGAGGCTGGATACATGTATTTTAAAGAGAACAACGCGACTAGGTCTCAGCATGGCCCGTAGGCCAGCTCACACGTACAAAGACCAGATAAATCCAAGTGACCGTCGAACATCAGGCAGTCACATAAACAAAGCATTACACTGCACTTCTCTTCTTCTGAGCTACTTTCTTGGCAACTTTCTTGACGCACCTTCCGTGCCGGCCATCAAAACACAAACGGTGTTACAAAATCCGCGCCAACCAGTAACTAAGATGAGACTGAGGAACGCTATTTGTTCTTTTCAGCAGCTTTAACTAGATCCAAAGTTAGGTTCGGTTTGACAGCCAGATTTGGGACTTCCAGGATTAAACGGTGGAACTCTGGTCTAAAACAGATATTTGACAAGGAAAACGGGATAAGCTACTGTCCCTTATAGAGGGAGAACTGTAGTGTCATTTTTTAGGAAAATTCCGACACGAAAATTCCTTAGATGGTTCATGGCGGTGTTGCTTCAAAGGTCACTAGCTTGTTTGTGGAAAACGGGAATAGAGTGAAGCAAAATACAGGCGTTAGTCTCGGCCCTTCCGTTGTGAGGGGTTTAGAGGGTATCCGCCATCGATGGAAATGCGCCACTTCTAGACGGTATGTACATGCAATAAATGGTAGGTACTGGGATGGATGTCTTTGGAAAAATGTTCGGGTCGCCTTCTGCTGCCACCAGTGTAGCGTCCCGAGATTTCTCACTGAGTGGAAGAAGGCAGCAAGTGAGGCTGGACTCATGCATTCCAAGGAGAATAAAGCAACTGAGCCTGAGCATGACTCGAAGGCCAATCCACGCGCGCAAGGGTCAGATTAATCCTAAATTGATCGCCAAACGTCAGGTACTCACATAAACAAAACATTACATAGCGCTTTGAGACCTTTCAGCAAAAAAGGTTACTAGGTGGAGAGAGCTTGGGCTTTGGCATGGCCCAAAATCCAGACGCCGCTCCCAAAAGCAAGACAAATACCAAAGTAACCGCCAAATACATTTAATTCCACGAAGAGTTCTTTGCAGTTAGTTAACTTGCCACTGCAGCATCCGTTAATGCGCATCCTTGAAAAGAAGAGGAAAATGAAGCATCATTTACGATGTTGCTAGTGGTACTTGGTGGCTTTTACTTTGGAACGAAACTGGAGTAATCCTCTTTAAAACCTTCGTAAAGGTTTGTTCGTTCGGATTTTCATTACCTACAATCCACCCTTTCATTATCTTTAACTGATATGCACACCTCGCTTAGCTATCCTAATAGTGGGATTTTTTAATGATCGCTATCTGTCTAGAGGCATCTGTACTAGTCGAGCATGGGGTCATGAATATGTGGACTAAGAATTGTTTTTCAAAAAGGAGCAATGTCTGTAGGTTCTTTTACACCTACTTCTGGGTCCTAAACTTCCTTTTCATAAGTTTAAAGCCCCTCTGAGAGGGTTTCACCGGGCGGCTCCAAAAGTTGGGAGCTCAATGGGGTCGATGCACCGCCTCACTAGTCAAAAGAACACTGCCTCCTCCCTGCAAAACCAAATCAAGCAACCAACATCGGTGGACAAGCGACGTTACCAGTGGGTTGTCTTCCTTTTACATCTGACGCATATGGAAACTTGATAGCCCTTTGTTGTGTTTACAATATTCAGCTTTATGCTTTTAATCTCTCCTATTTACATTGGAAGGCGGTGCTTTTGAATATATGCAAATCTGGTACAAAGGGTTTCTAGGTCTTTTTTTTTTATTAACCATGGCAGAAGCTTCGAGTATTAAATGTCGAAATTAATATACGTTAGTAGCAAATGTCAAATGTCCTCATTTAAAATGAAAAAACGTTGCAATGATCAACCTCGCCGTAGCAGTTTTCCGCGATATTTTAGGTTTTGTTTCCACTTGTGAGTATACCGTACTGATAAGTTGGATATAATTTCTTGGTTACAATAGACTCAGCTTCCTCAGGAAGATGGGACAAAGGAAGAGATCAACAAATGTTAAAATTTATTTATTATTTCTAACATGAGTACGACATATAAGAGAGAAGAAGACAACACAAATCACAAATAAATAAGACCCAGACCAAGGATGTTAGCTTCACCATTCTCACTAGTCTTCAATCGAAGTAGTAGCCCCAATGAGCCATTGTATTGGTGAAGGGTCGATGAATGTAGTCGGACGAATTCATGTATGTCTTGATGGCTGGAATGCTCTGGAGTGTTAAAAAGGTGGAGTGTATCAACGTGTCCATTTCCCTCTGAGTTGAGTGCAAGTGGTCAAGGGATCTTAATTACCTCAAAGCGAACTATGTAGGCTCTCAGATTGTCAAAGTTGTCCAGGCATTGTGGATCGTAGGTTTTGAGAACAATAAGCAAATCGTAAATGTTAAAGTCCGGGTAGTTAACCTAAGGTCGGGGGAAGGAAAGGTCCTTGTAAAGCTAACAAAATGAGCGCGACAAATTAGATTAGCGAAAAGTTTAAAACTGTTGAGTTATTTAGGTTGCGTAAAAGAGATTGGGGAAAGCATTAGTTTTCAGCATTTGATAGGTAATTGGTGTCACATGTGCGACAGGAGGAGTGATCACGTCGCAGCGACAGTTAAGGAAATTTGATAGTGCACCTTACCATTGAGATAAACAAAGGGTATGATCAGCTGGCAAAATTCTCCGAGATCAAAAAATACAAGAATAGGTGATTTAAGTGCTATAAATAAGTGGGGACGCAAACAAGCTGTAGTGCGTTTGCAACTAAAATACCACTTTGTCACTTATCCTCCATATAAAATGCTTTGCTTTGATGCAAAAATGAAATTGCCTTGCATTAAAAACAAAATTATCGTTTCTGCCAGCTGAGAAGGTACAGATTTACGGCATCGCATATGAAAGGTTGGGAGTAAGAGTGTATCTGCAACTCATAATTCCTTTTTGCGAAGGCATGGGTGCGGTTAAAAGAGGTCCATTTTCCATTACGTGCCCTTCCTCCCCCTTCCTTCATCTCCTCGTATTAGAGCATGCCCCACCCAGTCGACTAAGGGTGCAATACCACTGTTTTTTTAAACATTAGCAAAAAATAATTCAAAAATTTACTTACAAAATGTTGAAGATTTACTTATTACAAGTGCCTATTTTACTGGTTGTTTCGTTTGATGAAGCGTATCCATCCAAAAAAATTTGATTTGTTCCATCTTTAATTAAAAACTTAATCGGAATTTCATATCTCAAATTATTATATATATCGGTTAAAAAATTACTGTGCCCATCTAATTTGCATTTTTTTTATATAGATCCCTTCTTCGCACGTTTAAATGTTTCATTTAATCCAGTCTTAAGTTTGATGGCTATTCGAGAGTCCCTCAACAGGCTCGTTCCTATCTAGTTGGTATTGAGCTTTCATTAGACGGCACTATTTTTTCAGTCAACAGCAATTACACTCAAAATTTACAGCTTTTTCGGGGATGCAAGATGACTGAAGTCATCATTTTGAACTTCTGATAGGCCACTCTACTAACTTCAAATGATTCTCGAATACTTGCATCGTCTACAACTCCTTTTGAGATCGTTATGTCCAAGGTACGTTATGCATGCTTTTTGCATTTAAGAATTGGTTAAGTGCACAATGATTTGAAAACTTCCTTCGACTTGTTTTAAATTTCAGAAAGCATTTTGTACGGCCGGTTGCTCAGTCCCCAAATAATAGGCATAAATGGAGACATTCCGGGATGCTTTACTGTAAAATTTATTTGATGAAACAAAGAAACATAGAGACATTCTACTTGATATTACACTCTAAGTACGTTAGGATGTCTTGTACAGTTCCCCACTGACTAAGACCTACTGAAGGTCTGACGGCGCAGTGAAAAATGGCACCCTTTCCCTTATGTGACTGCTTGTTTTGTGCCAATGAGGCAAAAGTGGAGGTGGTTTGGTATTATCTGCACAGACACCCATGACCGTCAGCTTCTCAGCTTTAGGCTTTTTGTGTTCACGTGCACTTTTCATGTTTTATCGTTTCTAATTAAGACAGCCAGCCAGGATTCTTACCAATAGTGGACTGTTTAACTTTGGTAAAAAGTCGTTATTTTTGGCATGAAGACTAGATCTAGTTTTTGCACGTCCCATCATTTATACAAATTGTGCTGTGTTTAACACACTTTTCTTACGGGCGTTTATTATAGTAAATATTTATGCACATAAGAATTTTACTCACCCGGTCACCAGAAAAGAATTTCTTGCCTCCCAGGTAGTCGGACAGACTTTTTATCTCGTTGGGCAGATTTTTCATGTACTCCACCTTGTTCCTTTCCTGCAGTTCGATGAGCTCTATGACGCTACTTTGACAAGGTTGGCAAGTTGTGCAAGCGTATGTGCAAGGCTCGCTTACGTAATCGGGTCCAAACGTGAGGCGATAGAAGCTGTTACGAATGTCCATCGCGGCTTGATGAACCATCAAAAGTGAGGCTCTCTCTTCTGGAGTCTTTGGAACTTTCCAAAATGATAGGTTAAAAGGACTATTTATTTTTACCAAAATTGTTAAAAATAATTTTTAATAAATATTACTCCCCTTTTACTCCACACATAACTTGGTATCCTTTTACAAGAATCTTAAGCAAATTTGTTTCAAAATACCACAGGATTTTGTGAAGCTACAAATCGACTCACGCATCTTGTGCTTATCAGCAATAAACACTAAAATGGCACTCGATTGGGTCAACTTGAAGGATCCATCGATATAATATGGAAGCTGAATTCACAAATTTTGTAACCCAATTGGGACACCTACATTAGGAAAGTCAAGACCAAGTTTGTTTTTCCTTGACAGCCATTGTTCCCTAGAAAAATCAGGTGCTATAAATTAATGCAAGTGAACTCTCTGAAAACCATACCTGGACCAGCAGTATAAAATTCCTGTTCGAAGTTTTCTCCACAGTAGATGAGCAGCAGTCGAATTTGCTGACCGAGCTGTGAGAAAGTACTAAGAGTTAGGCTGTGGTAAAGTTTATATGCTTGTTTGGAATTTGCTGGGCAGACAATGCAAATACTTGCTGTTTTATATTACTATAAACATGTGTTCATGTATGCGTGTAAACATATCTTAACGTTGCTACTCTGAGCGAACATCAATAACCCACTGAAGATATCTGGCCCTGACTGCATAAAAGCGCAATGTTTTAAAGGAACTAACCCCGCGACTTTTCCAATAGCCTAGAATGGGTGTCATTGATTGGGACCATCGTCATCCTCGGCGCTTAAATACGCACGCTTTACAAGGTCGCTCGAGCTGGTAAATTATAACACTTAATGACTCGAGCTCCGGAAGCACTTTTGGTGGAAAATAATTATAAGGTGGTTTTATTGAGTGGATATCAACCTTATCGAGGGTATGCGATTTGCGTTAATTATCAATTTACTTAAATTCACTCGAGACGCTTTAACCCATGTAACCGTTATGATGCTTACAAAATTGTTTTCGACTTATAAGGTGCTAGAAAGAGTTATTGTCTTTATCGTAAGGTAGGTTTTCATTTGGTCTAAGTATACATGGATTTCGCTAATTATGAATACAAAAACAGAATGTGGCTAAGAAGACCGCTTCTCATTATGTAAGGTCTTGGGACTACAAACTAAGCCATCGGAAAAGACTCTAAGTTGAGAATTAGTACATGCATTCAATGCGAGCAGGTCATAGTTTGGCTCATGACATGGCCCGAATACCCGGGTCATGAACAAGGCAATTGAACAAGGCAACTACCAAAACATCCGCCGGACGTGCTTGTGGTCGCGTAGGCAAACCGCTGCGCCTCCGGTCGGTTTTTTGTGTGAGTACCTTTGGTTCCAAATCCATTCTTTAATATAAGTACATCAGCTATTGTCATCATTCGATCAGCGGAATTTCGATATCATTTGTTATTACACAGACGGTTCGTCATGTAATGCTTAGTTCATGTGGCCAGATGACGTTTGGCTGTCACTTTAGGGTTTGTCTGACTCTTGTACACGTGATCTGACCTTCGGGCCATGCTCAGGCCCATTTGCTTTGTCCTCTTTGGAATACACGTATTCGGCTTCATTTGATTCCTTCTTCCACCCGGTGCGAAGTCTTAAAACGTTACACACGGATCTTCAAACAAATAGGTCACTTAAAACTAGTTGTGACGCATAAGTCACAAAGTCGGCTTTGCATTTTTGAGGCATAGACTCCAAAGATTTTATGCTGACATCTTTGGTCATAGACGTTACCACTCCCTTAATTTTTTGTGAAATATTTAGACTGTGTAGATATTTACACTGACGTCACAAAGTTATTTGAGAGGTATTCATTATACTACCCACTAAGGTTTTAGCTCGTTTCAAGGCTCCCATCATTCCCATTAAAATCGAACACTTTGGGGAAAAAGTTACAATTTCATGATCATAGTCTAATTTCGGCCTCTGTCCCATGAGGCCTTCGGAGAAAAGTAAGGCCGACTTTTGAACTCCTCTGTTGCTAAGTAGACCTTCACTCTTTGCAAGCCCTGAAATGTTCAGTAATACTTTGGAAGTAGGCAAGATGGTGGCCACGTTTCATGACTACTAATTGGTAAGTAAATATCACCTTAAAACGCAGCATAAAGTTCTCCAAATTTTCAAATTGCTTCAGACAATCAGGTGCAAACGTCACCAACATGTCAAGTAGATCGTACAAATTGAAGTCGGGGTAGTTTGGCTAAAGAGACATCAATTCGTTAAAAAAAGCAAATCACTAATCGTGTTTTGGTGTGTCTCGCTTTATATGGGTCTCGTAATGCGATGGCAATTTCGTGGCCGTACTTCGTACCCCACACATGTGGCATTAGCCCTGGTTTAGAAGTAAACGCTCTTCCTTACTGCTTGAAAGCGTTGCCACCTTAAGGCTGATGTCTACCCCAACAAAAGCAGGCTATTAAAACCAAAATTCTTGAAAGTTTACCATACTACTTAAATTAATATATAAGTAGGAAACACGGTTCTGGTTGTTTGTGTAGTAAATCGCATTTAAGAGAGCGTTTAGTAACTGAGCTCAGACAGCGTTCTTGACATTAATAAGCCCCTAAAGCGCACGATTTGTGCTAAGAGCTATGCGCATAAGCCACAATAAGACTACGGGAAGACAAAAATCCGTAGCTGCCTCTCAACTTCAACAGTCGCGAAGCTAGGCTAGTCGAGCTTTAAGGTTGGTTGATCCAAATAGACGCTTTCAATACGCAATGAGGTAATGAAAGTCGAAAGTGTGCGCAAATGTGCATGAAAATGTATGCTTTTGGGATACGCTTTAAGCCAAAAGCACACAAGCTTTGCAATGTTATCGGACCCGCTGTCAGAGTGGTGGATTTTCCTACTAAAAACAATTTCTTGTATAAGTTTTTTGGCATTCCGATTTACATTTACGACTTCTAAAGTTATCTACTTCTAGAATAGACTTAAAAGAAGCAATTTTACGTCATCTGACCTTTCTTCCTGAAATCCAATTCCTATTTCCCATTGTGGCGGAGAGTCGGTGCAGCCTTTTGTGGATTGTGCGTAGACTGTGTGATTTTTTGGTCTCCTAGTATTTTTTTAGGTAAAAAGGGGCAAAACGAGTAAGGTTAGATGTATATGCGTTAAGAGCAAAGTAAATTCGCCAGCTACTCGCTTACCCACTCTCTGTCATGGCAGAGTTCTACAAAATTTCTCCTCACTTGATCAATGTCCTCCTGCTTCTGAAGCAGTCGGAACCTGGCTTGGCTATCCACAGGCACTAAAATTTCGAGGCAAGGAAAAGTTAAACAGGAGAAGGGGAGGATTGGAAGAGGCTTTAAACGTCACTACAGAAGTATTCTTCAAGTCTAGTAATAATGCTTCGCCAAGAGTATGGCTAGCTTACGAAATCTAGGAAGATGAATTAGTATTTTACGTTTAGATGGTGGAGAGGCGACAACCCGTGAATGAAATTCGGCATAGCGACAATTGTCACTGCTCATCAAGCTCTTCAAATTAAATTCTAAACTATTTTGCCTAATAAGCCTACTTAAATTGTTATAAGTAGCAGTCATCGGACCTTGATTTGTCTAAACATCCCGGTTGCTTAAACCAATGTCATTGGGATTATTTAACTTCATTCACGCTTGAAACGGTAGTCTAGTGTGGATAGGACCGTTTTCTTGCAAAGAGGATAAAGTCGAGACGACTAAACTGCAAACCTTATTGTTTTCCTTATGAATCCAACTTACAGAACCTTATATTGCCTTTTCGTGCTTCATTCTCGTGCAGTCTAGGGAAGAGCAAAACTTATCTTCCTACAACTCACACAAGTTGTGCTTCTTAGCGATGTGCTCCAAAATTGGCACAGTTCCACAGAGCCTAACACTCTCCTCGATCCAGTAGGGCAACTAAATAGGGCAAACAGGAATCAAAAAGATAATATTGCTACCTCGAGATCAGCCATTTCTGCGGATTGCTTCCTGTTTTCCCACTGCGACGTTGAGTAGTCAGGACCTAAAGCAGCACATAATTTGCAATTTTTTCGCTGTAAGAGAGGATCTTTTAAGTTGCTTAGTCAATGAGAAATTTATGCTCGCATCTATGTAATTCATATTCCTTTCCCTACTATGCTTTGAAAGTGTGGTCGTGAGTTCATCTGCAGGTGTGATCATCGAAAGTTTGCTCACTACTACCTTCCATGTGGAACTCTCGCACCTTGAAATCACCGTCGCAGCAAGTAGGCGCTGTCCAGGCATATCCACTTTCTCCTGATGGTGAGTTTTTCGTTGCGGCGAGTAAATTGTATTCGTACACTTTTCCCCCCAAGACAAGGCTTCTTAACATTTAAAGCACTCGCAATTGTTATGCTAATGGTCTTGAGCGCCTAAATAATGTCGATCGTGTTGGAATACTGATTTTAGGCATTTCTGGGGTGTCTGAGTTAAGCCCAACGCCTAAGCTCATCAAATGTGACCAGATGTTGCCTTACTTGGGCCATATTCGTAGAGCTCCTCCTTGTAGTCCTCCGCAAGGTGGTGACAGAAGAGTCGAATAGCTTCGGCCCCCTAAAATGTGCACAACGTCAAAGCGCTGCCTCAACACAGCAAAATCTGGCGTGTTGAAGATTTTAAGCTAATTAATCATCTGCGATACAAACTTCCCTTCCCGACAGCGATTATGCGTCTTACATGTGTGAGACAAAAACAGACTTCCTTAAAGATGTCTTTATGAAAAGTAACACCAATTGTGTGTCCTCTGATAGCGTCAAAACAATGTCTTGTTGAATAAAAGACGGCACAACCGATAGGAAATGCGACGAGGGTTAAGGTAGAAAGCAATCAAACTTGTAAAAATGTTAAAACTGTATTTGATGACACATTATTGGTGTTCACTGAGTGCCTTATGTGGCAGAATCCTCATGTCAGCTTAAAATCACCTTCTTGTGTTGACTTTCGACAAAAACTAAAAGTAAAGCTCTTACAGAATTAGGATAAAGCCGCTTCATTCTTCAGAGGAAGGACTAGGGTTTTCCATGATAAATAGAGCTGTGCTTAGAGGATCATCATTCTCAGCCTTTGTGCCTCCCTTTGAAATATTTTAGTAGCAGGCAATGTGGTGGAATTAAATTTAACCCTATTTTCCATGATATTTAGTCTTCATTTTGCAGAAGTGGAACTACCAAGCCGGATAAAAGGGGCCATAAAATCTGCTGGTAATAAAAAGAATCAAAATAGTCCAATTTCTGATCAATTTTAGATTAAGAGTAGCCCAAGTATCTGCTGCTTACTGCTTATGTCGCCTAAAATTCGTGATTTCGCTCTTTGAGTGTTAAAATTCCGATCATTCTGGCTTGAAAATTTACATCTACTTATTTAATTTTAGTAAAGTGTTTCATTTATTGATAAAATTCACCTTTTCCACATTTGGTTCTGATTTGCATCTCGGTTTAAAATGCCGAAAAGCCTCTGCCCTAGACACTTATCGATGAAAGAACTTAATTTAGCCCAGCCGCTTATGTTTTTTTTGCATCCAAACTAAAGTGTATGCAATTTGCATTAACTCATAAGGCGGAAATAGACTCTCGAATCTGCGCAACCACCGCGTTTGCATACAAGGTGGTTCCATGCAGCCAACTCGTTTGCTTCCGAATTAAAAAGTCAAGCAGAAGGAAGTCTTGGTCCTGTAGTAACCGTAACTAGGAAGTTGGGCACAAAACATAAATCATACTTCCAGTGCAACACCAAACTCCGTACAAAGTAAGAGGATGATTAAATGCCTCCTGGAATGCATCTTCTAATAATTGTATCAAGCAAAACTGTGATAATTGAAATTCTCTTTTTCACGGATCCCAATCCGCTAGTGAGGAAGGAATTCATTTATTAACCACACTCATGTGTGCGAGGGTGTCTACAATATTTGGTGCAGAAATTAGGGCGGGTTGTCAGCGAAAGAGGAGGCTTGCGAGGAGCACCGGCTACTTGGGGCTGATTGGAACTGGAGAGGCGTCTGTGATTGTGACTTATTAATACAACCATCAGACAATTTTTTCGGACACCTCAAGAATTAAAATCCTACCTCACGAATATTCCAATGTCCTAATCTTGGTTGTTTCAGTATAGAGGCTGTGGCTAGCAACAGCGTTGGGGGTTCCAACTCCTCAACGATTGGTGTCTTCTTTGGCGATGGCGGTGTTGATGGCAAAGGTGTTGAAGCCGGTGTCAGATGGGATGAAGGTGGAGAGAGAAGGGCGCCATTTAATTCAGTAACTCTCGGAATAGACGACGTGGATGACATCGGTGGTGATGGTGGGGGTGTCGGCGGTGGCGTCAGTGGTACAGAAGATGCCGTACGCAGTGACAAAGTTGAAGCAGACACCATTGGTTTCAGGAGCATCAATGGAGGTCCAACAAAGTCGTCTATGTACTCCAGTTCCGGTGCTGTGGGTTCTACATCAAACACCGTGTCAGCCTCGTTTACCGCCTTGCTATCATCTTTTTTTAACTCGTACTCCTCATAGCAACAGCAACAACAACAGCTATCGCAGAAGGACATGTTCACATTGTTGGTGGTGCTGATAAATCCGCACTTATAAACGACCCTGCCTCTCTCCATCAACGTGTTGCTCCCAGTTCTCGCGTCGCGGATCACAAAGTATAAGCTGGTTGGCAATTGCCTTGCACTCTGGTACTTTTCAAGGCCATCCCTTTTCTTTGCGACCCCATTTTAGGCACATACTAATAAAATTAACAGATTTGAGGGTCCTTTTGGGTGTTGGCAGGGTTGGTGGCAAAATATCCCCAGTTCTGGCGATCAACACAGGCCAGAGCCTCATAACTAATCAGTTTTAATTGCTCCGCCTTCCTTATGACTTTTGCACGCCATGAGTGGATGCAGCCCAAACATCCCTGACCTTCGACAGGAATTCTGAGGTGTCACTGGCATTCCTCTGCAAGCTTGCTCAATCCCACGCGGATAACTCAACATTCTCAAAGTATGTTTTGGCCTTAATTAAGTGTTACCTTTTTAAAAGTCACGCATCAACTGCTGTGACCTTCAATCGCAGCATAGTATTTCAAGGTTGCATCACGGTGCGATAGTAATAGGAGGGTTAGGCAGGAGCAAAGCCGGTCATTCAGTCATCCTTTAACCGCCTCCACCGGTGTTGCAGTTGTGTAGAAAGAGCCTACAGGACCTTCAGCAACAATTTTGAATGCCAAGCTCAAGACGACAGAATTGATCGAAAACAGATCCACGATCGAAGCCGTAACTAATGTTGCTCTTTGAGAGGGGATGCCATCATCGCCTGAAACCATTTTTTCCATGCCTACCTTCCTGACAAACTTATACAAACACGCGCCAACTTGTTCCGAGTTGCTATCCAGGTCAGGTTGGCCAGTAAACAACAGTAGTTAAACTGAGTAGGCAACCTCCTACGTTCTGACTCACAATGAAGCAGTCATTATACTCTCGACGCCAGACTGTCACGCAGGAACGCCCTCCCGCCCTCCCCCTTCCATCTCAATTACTCATTTACGTCTGCAACTCAGACGTCAACTTCAAGGTCTTAGTTTCTCTTCCACTCTAACAAAAAAAAACCCATTTTAAAAAAATGCCACTGTTGAATATAGCATTGCTAACCATAAGGCTCAAAAACTGTGTCAACGCAATGCCTGTCATCAAATCAATGTGTATCGAGTTGACTACTTCTTACTTCGTTAGTAGTATAACTCACTAAAAGTCAATCTCCAGCACGGGGTTAATTTTAGTCATAACCGCTTCCAACAGTGGCAGTAATCTCAAGCATAACACCTTAAAAGCGGCTATTATTTAGATATGTTACTGTGAAGACGTTTGACCCCTGCACTGCCTTGCGGCTCACTTTTTTTTAAAAAAACGTTATACTACGGTTAGCGTCAAGCTTCAAGTCACGCATTAGTGGAATCGTCGTTAAGTCCGGAGCTCTCACTTACCACAGCCAAGAGTGTAACAAACTACTCTTTCTTTTCAGGGGGTCTCCTGATAAGAGAAGCTGGTTGGTCACCGTGGCGTAGTCGTTGGGGTGGAAAAAGCGCCCATCAATCAACCAACCAACCTCGCCAAATATGGAATCGCTTAAATCTACAAATTTTATTCTAGATGTAAAATTACATGTTTCATTGGATCTGGAGCTTATTCCTGGGACGAAAAATGTACCAGCCACTGCCATGAGAGACGGGTTTGGCATGTGCTTGGCTTTACATTAATTTGATATAGCAGAAGAGTGAAGTGAAGTGTCCACTACTAGCTGAGGTGAGGTTCTAGCTCGAAGGCGGATATCTGGTAATGCAAGCCTACCTGGGCGGTCAGATTGGCTTCATTTTTTACGCTTCCACCTCCTCAATTCCTTCCACATCGTTTTGTTTGCATTCTCCTCCCGCAGTTTTGGAACACCTCGAGTCGTCTCAACGGCTAACAAACTTTACTTTTCCTCGCCCCTGTCCCCCTTGCAATGCAGACACCATGAGGGGGTTAAAAATGGCAGCACATTGAATTCCATCGAAAATAGTGAGGAAGTGCCCGCTCAACTATGCAAGAGAACCGAAGCAGCTTAGTGAATTCCTCTAAGTTTCGCCCTCGTCCTCACTCCAGCGTGGCGTTTTATAGGGGCACCATGCCAAGAAATCCAAATTACTTGGTTTAGACGCATTTTAGGCCTTAAAGGTGGCAATGCTAAAGCGGCAAAAATTTCAATTTTTACACTGGATTTTAACTGATCTTGACCTTTGATGCGGCAGTGAAAGTAATGCCGCTTTGGCAATTGAACATTTTTTTTAGTTCACAAGTAAAGAAGGATTCATTTCTTACTTAAGCATGAGACTAAACGCATGCCGAAAATAAAATTAGCAAAAGTTGGACATTTTGGAGTGTATGAGGGGTACTTTTGAGCCATTGCTACGCTCTATGAGACGGAGTTTGCAGACTATGGCATTGAAGTCACTACAGCTAAAATTTCTCAAAGTCTCGGGTTCCTAGTTCGCAAATTAGGTGAAAGAGATTGGGTTGAACCGATTTACTGCAGCCTACTTTCAAATCCCTCATCGACCTCGGAAGCATAATACAGCACTTCGACGACCTGCTCGAGTCGCCGTTTCGACATCAGGAGCACTGATGACTCCGCTTTGTGTTTCTACCGAGAGACAGAAGCTACAAGCCATGGCGGTAGACAACCGATAGGGTTGTTGTGCTTTTGTGTTCCACATTCAATAAGACAGCATTCACTCACTTAGCGTAGTTGATTGTTGAATGTCTTTCCTACGACACCGACATCGTATTAGTGATCGTTGAGGGAGATTGACTAAGGGGATCACCAAAGGAACCAGCGTCTGTGCCTTCTTTTGTTTACTGTTCCGGATTTCTAAGTTTGGTTTTACTCAACCTTGGATTTCCTCTTTCATTCTAATGTCCTGCGGGCTGGCACATCAACCTACCTGCATGTTGACAATGCAAATTTTTCAAAGAGCTTCTAACCCACAACAGTGATTCCTTTTGAAAAAAAGTGGTGCTGCCATCTTTTGGGTGACAAGAGAACATGCATACATACATCTTTGATTTTTCTCATACTTAAGCATAAACGCAAATTCCTCCCCTTGAAATAATCTTCAATTTCAGGAGGAGGAAACTATCAAATGACTGCACAAATATAAATGAACACTGCAATTTTAACTTAAAGCAGCCAAGTCTTGAATGAAGGTTGTCCGAGCTTAAAATATTTTGCTCATGGCAGAGTCCGCCATTAAGCAAATCCGAATGACCTTAATTCTGTGCAACCTCCTACCAAACCTGAAGCCTTGGTTACGTACGTAACAAGGGCGCAGTGGACCTACGGTTGGTGCAGTCTCGGCGACGAACTGATACTGAGACCCAGTTGATTTAAAACAATTTTCGAGCGTTAGACATACGCCAATCAATCATATGAATTGCTTGGACGTGGCTAAGACTCAAAACCTCAAAAGATTGCCTAGAGTTGCAAGCGTCTTCACCGATAAAAATCAGGCCAATCAAGGAGCTGAATTTCTAACCAATAAGATTGGATGAAATAAGTCCCCCACAAACTCGTACATTCTGATCAGAAAAGCGCGTTATAACATAAACCCTTAAAACTATACCAATCGCTTTATCCACCCTCCTCCGAATGCAAATCCCAAGTGGTGCTCCATAGCAGCATGCTATTGAACTTAATCTCTCAACATCAGCAGTACACCCGCGTCAACTACAGCTTCAATTAATGGTGCATAGAAAGGAGTCAGGACTTACAACTTTTAAACTTTAAACAATTCACTTTGGAGTTGCAGACATTTATACCAGTCATTAGTCTTGCCAATTCAGTCAACATCCTTTCAAATAACAGAATCATTAAAAATTAACCAATCGGGGCGCTGAATCCTCCACCAATTAGAATGCCGAGTTAACACCTGCAATGGTGTACTCAACTTCCGACTGGTCAATGGGCTGACCAAAATGCCCAATAAGCAAACACGCTTTTAACGATAGCACATCCACTTCCAACAAGATATCAACCTGCATTGTTTAAAAAACCCATCCTTTTTTAGACCTTTTCTGTGTAGTGTACAGGTATCTGCAAATGCGTCTAGAGTACATCAGACGACTTCAACTTACTATTATTCTCTAATAAAGTAAATTATAACGCATCAAAAAATCAACATCGCTTTTCACCAGGGCGTACAAAAAAAAGCTCCTCCCTTCTTCCAAAGCGGCGACAAACTTACACCAAAGAATCCCCATTACTATTCGACCGTTTGGAAGAGGAAGACGACAGGACTGCTGACAGATAGCTCGACGGTAAGAGGAAGCCTGTTTTCTTGTGACTTCGCAGTGATGAACTAATGACAAATCCTAACAACCCATGAATCACCCTCGAGAAGAAATAGAAAAGTAAACCACAGAATTGAGAAGAAAATGGAGACTGGTGCGTTCATTTGAGGGGCCTCTCATTGCTCACCAATGAACTGTAATATATCTATATGCCAAATGAGGCTCGACAGTTGCTTCCACTCACGAGCATTCAAAGGCCCAAGTGTCTTATAAGTTGTCGAAATTTTGTCCAAATAACCCCACAGGAGTTACGCATTGACCTCCGGTTGGGCCTGTGTTGACGGCACCCGCCACAGACGAACCCTCCGTGCAGATCACAAGGCTATGCTGAAATCATCACCGATTATTCATCTTGATAGGTAAAACATTCAGCCAGACTGAAATCCAGATGAAATCAGTGGAAATTGTGTACTTCAAATGGGTGTTTTACAGTAATATTAAAGCAACACACCGCGAAGACAAAAGATCTCACTCATTACCAAACTGTGAATTCTCCCAAAAAGGACGACTAGGAAAATATCACAAGCTTGACAATTAACCTGCTTTGATTATATTTGCTAGCTGTCAATCAAAAGACTGCTTGCCACGTTCTGTCCCTCTGAAAATTACTATTTCATCACGAGTTTGGCGTGCCTTAAATTGTGCACGCTCAGAGAGATGAAATATGACGAAAAGGTGGGCGATGATCCGACGCTTCACATTTGTTGGGCGCTTGAAAAAATTCAGAAGTATGCGAGTTATTAGGCACATAAATTTGTGGGAATGAGAGGATATAAATTACAACGATAACACCAACAGATGGGAGAAGGAGAGTAATGAAAAAAAGATGAGTTAAGAAGCGGTATCTGAGGGGCCAGGGATGGGTGAGGGGATAGGCGAGTTCCATGCTGCACTACTGCCTCGAGGGCGCGTATGATATTTGTACCCATGAAAGAGCTCCGCATCATCAAAATGGACGTTCTCTGCGGGTCGAAATACCTTCCGCCAGGAAATATCACCTCGATATACGCGAGACACCCAGAATATCAAATCCGAACTACCTGTAAACCATCACAGCTCGCATAATAAGTACCTTTGGCGACTAGAATTATTTGATCCTTCTAGAGCCAATGTAACGCTTCTACGTATCCATACAATCATCCCAAGCAGTTACTAACTGTTCGACAAACCCAATGGATTCCTGCTATGGATAACATGTACAAAAAACTGACTACCCTTACTAGCATAACGAAATTGTGGTATAACAACCACTTACCATCCTTGGCCCACTTGGGAATGGCTCTCCTCCTGTACCTTACTTCATCGTCTGAATCAGATTCGTAGTCGGAAAGGAGACCGGTTAGATCGTAGGAGACAGGAGACCTTCGGGAAGGAGGACAAGGATCAAGTCAAGGTGGGAAGGGATGTAGGGATGCGGAAAGGAAGAGCAACCATTTACCCATCGGGAGCAGATGGTGGTGGTTGTGAGGGTGGCGCCGGCGGATTGTGCAGTGGCTGCGATTCATTAACCTCGGTGGATCGAAGTGGAAGCGGTGGTGGTGGTGGAGCAACCTTGGCGAGATCAAAGTTTTTCATGTAATTGGCGTTGTTGGTGGTGGTTGTGACTGATAAAGCCGTAGATGTGTTGGTGGGAAGTGATGAGAGGGGCAAATGCTTAATCAACTGACTCGCGTGCTGGTGGTTGGCAAAGGTTGCCGTCTTCGGTGGTGGTACCTTAACCTTCATCACAACCTAAAAAGTATAGAAATTAGCTTAAAGCAGTAAAGACTTCCTGAGAGAGCTTGTACACAAGTCATTACGTTTTTCAACAGCACTAAAAAAACTTCAAATTAAGTACTACCAACACGGCAGTTGAGAGAATACTTGTTGCAAATAAAATAAGTTCATCGAATTAATTTTGAGTCAATGACACAGCGAAAAAGAGCTAAATTTGGGTCTTGCAATGATTTGTCTAAGGAGAGATACATAATCAATAACATGCAAAAAACTCACTTTTTGCATTTTTAACCTTTCTGCCTCCAATCGTCTTGCCGTGGCAGCTTGTTTCTCCTTGGCTTCACGTTCTGCATTTGCACGTACCGCCATTCGATGCTCATTAGCAGCTTTCACCTTAGCCTTATGCTCCCTAGCTCGCTTCTCCATCAACTCCTGATGTCTTTGTGCACTCTCGGCCAACTTCGCCATCACTCGGTCCCTTCGGTCGTCCTTTGCCACATCTTTTGGCAGCGGTTTCACCGCCGGCTGCATCTGCAGCGGTCCGGTCGTAGGCCCTCGAGACAACGCACCTGCTGCCATGGAGGCGCAAGATCGGTGGGTAGTGCTAATTTCCTTCTCTTCATTCCCTGCATAACATAGACGAGAGATGAAAAGAGATGAAGCAACCAAAGGATAAACCATTGCCAGAAAGGCATAAATTTAAACAGGGGAGTACCAGAAGTATAACGGAAGGAACTAACTACTTTCGTACCCGGGACATTGGTTCTACTGGTGCCGGAGATCTTATTCGACTGTGGTATCGTTGGCAATCGTGACGCAGAGTTAGCAACAGCTGCTGTTGGTTTAGTATGTTTAGCCGCCGAAGCACGGGGAAGCGCTGCGCTTTTAAACTTTCCCATTCCCACCGACGCCTTCGCTGACAGCCGAGATGCACGGGGCTGACGCGGTAAATTTGAATATGTCATATTAGCGGAGGCTATGGTATTAGTATTAGCAGTAATCGAAGCAGTCTTTGAGGCCATGCTCCAACCAAGTCGAGAAAGCCAGGGTTTCGACAATCCCGTTGGCCATGGTGTGTTATGAAATTGTCGTAAGCGACTTCCAGCATAACCCGGAGCGGCTGGTGTAGAGGCGATGTGAGAAGTCGAATTCAAAAGCACTGCTGCAGAAGTGGTAACATCGCCTGTAGTAGTGACTGTTGGGGATATTTTAGGAGGTCGATACAGTGATTTTGAGGAGCGTACCTCCACCACATCATCTTCTTCTTCAGATTCCTCAGTCATTATGCTAAAATTTCCATTCACGACCCTTGAAGAATCGTCATTCGCCCCAGAATCATTCGCTAATATGGAAGCAGCCTCATTCGTAATTACACAAGACTCGGATTCCGGCAATGACTGAGCAGAATGCACTGAATTCGCCACTTTTTTTGAACCAGACACCCTACTCCTTCTCTAAAAATTACCAAAAATGACAACAGGCTGCATATGATTAGGTAACACTATAGACATTAAGATAATGTCGTACTCTGGCGGAACCGTTGGACAGACGTTCGTCCTTGGCAGATGAATCAAAACGACTTTGCTTAGAGGATGGAAGAGAACGCTTTGTGGCAAAAGACGAAGCTCGTACTGAAGACTTCCTTCTCTTACAGCTCTAAGTAAAAATCAATCAGAAGACAGAAAAAAATACCGATGAATCAGGAGATTCCAATTTCAATCTAATTACACTGGTATCCTCCAAGATATGCTGAAATATGACAATCATCGTTCAATAAGAAAAAAAAAAACTATCTCACCGATTTGTGGACCGATTGATTAGCCTCAATAGTGTTCTCAGCTAGTAAAGTAACCTCATCCATGGCATCTCCTTCAATGGATTTTATTTCTGTTGCAGATTGTGAGCATTTATTTCGAAAAGGCTGGGCTGTGTCCAGCTTCGACGCGAGTGCGACGGAAGACTGCTCCTCAAGAACAGGCTGCATCTCCCCATCGAGTTGTCCGGATGACTTCAATAAAAAACGAGATTGAAACTTGAGATTTGAGAATTCAAAGGATACACTATCCTTAAGGATCAAAGACGTACCTGAATCAGGTCACATATTTCAGTAGATGATGTCGACATCGAAACCTTTTGCCTCTTGGATCTTGTACTGTAAGCGGAAGAGCAAACAATCGACTTCGTAGCCCGAGTCTTGCGTTTTTTAGGACAAGATAATACACGCTCCGAATCAATCAACTGCAAGGTACCAGGAACAACGAATTCAGGGATAAGAACATGAATTCGCTGACACAGTTTTGAAATCGTTTTAGATGCTAGAGAATTCAAATCCGAGGAGATCGTCTCAATTTTTCGGTAAAGCTGCCGACTACTCTCTTCAATATCCATTTCTACAACAGGCTTTAAAATTCTACGACCAAGAACGTATGTTCCCACGCGATTAAAACAAATTATGCATTTTATTTATTAGTAAAATGTTGTTTAAGAATAATTTTTTAAAAAACTTTGCTGCGATGTTTTTGGATTCGATAGGTTTTAATCTACTGAAGGTACAATTGTAGAAGTTTTTAATTCGCGGTCACTGAGTCCTGATCGCACGGCACATTAGTTGCAAATAAGGCATAGTTCATTGCATCATTAATAATATAGCTTCTCAAGACCTTTTTACTTTTTGAGGTAGACATTAGGTTAAGTAAAAACGTGCATGTCGCGTTTCGAGACTACTCACTGTGTGGAAGTGTGCAGCAACCGAAGTTGGATACATGCAGTCCAATTAGGACAAAGCAACGGGGCCTCAGCATAATCCGAAGGCCAACCCACAATTACGAGGCCAGACAAGTCCCAAAGTGACCACCGAATGTCATATGGCCTCATAAACAAAGTATTGCAGTGCATTCTAGGGAGGAAAGGAGGATACTGTAGCGTCCCGAGGCTTCCAATGGGGTAGTAGAAGGCATAAGTGAGGCTGAATACATGTATTCCAAAAACAAGAGGAGAAATGTGGCCTGAGCGTGACCCGAAGGCCAGCCCACGTGTACAGGGTCCAAACAAACTCTAAAGTGACCGCCAAACGTCAGATAGTCGCATAAACAAAGCATTACACTGCCCCTCCCTTCTTTTGAGCGACGTCCTCGACGCTCCCCTTTGGTAAACCTCCTGCTCCAGCCATCACAACATATTCGGTGCTACAAGAAAGCATCCACTAGCCAACCGCACCAGTCGACAGACAACGCGAGAGCGAGGAACCGTACCTGATCTTGTCGGCAGCTTCAACTGGGTCTGGAGTTTCGTCCGGTCTGACAACCAGATTCGGGGACCCCTGCATCTGTCGACCATCAATTGCTTCCAGAAATACACGGTGGAACTCTGGTCTACAACAGATATGTTACAGGGATAAGGGGACGGGCCACTGTCCCGTATGCGAGGAGATCCGTTGTGTCATTTCCGACACCTAAACACGGGTTCTGTATGGAAAATTCCCACACGAAACTTTTCCAGATATTTCACGGCGGTGTCGCTTCAGTTGTTAATAGCTTGCTTGTGAAGGGTCCAGAGATCCTCCGTGATCAAGGTAAATGCGCCCCCTTCAATTTACGTCCCTTTTTCGCCTGTATCTTTATCTACTGCACTTCGATAGATAGCCAGACTTCCTTATGCGCATGTATATCTCATGATTGCCAGAATGCGCTTCTTAATCTTGGATTTCTCCCCTAAGAAGCAGAATTCATTTGCGGTCTTGTCTGTTGGTTGGATTACAACCTTCATGTCGTGGAAATAGAGGTTTCGACTTTTCGGCCGAGGGAACCCGATTTTGGAGTATCTGCATGTATTAAACCTGTGCATCATCCGATCGAACCGTTGCTCGTCGGTTTGTTCGCACTGTTCTTTTCCGAAAATGAGTCGGCTAATTGGCAAAGCTTAGCAAGGCAAACATAGGATGTCAGTAAGACAGTGGTGTCTGTTGAGAAGCACATTTTCCCACACACTATTTCGCTTTCAAAAGCACCTTATACCTAAAAGTCGATAATAAGATGTCGGGTTCGCTTTCCGCTACCCCCAGTGTAGCGTCCCGAGGCTTCCAATGGGGTAGTAGAAGGCATAAGTGCGGTTGAATACATGCATTTCGAAAGCAATAGGAGAAATGGGGCCCGAGCGTGGCCCAAAGGCCAGGCACGTGTACGGGGCCTCAGACAAGTCCAAAAGTGACCGCCAAACGTCAGATAGTCACGTAAACAAAGCATTACAGATACAACAAGAATTTTAAGATCCCTATCAAACAAAACCTAAGATACAGATGGTCTTAAAATCAAGATATTGAGCTACACCTCACATTTTTCGGACTACATTGTGAGTGCTGTAACACTTTGTTTATGTGACCACATGACATTTGGCAGTCACTTTAGGATTTGTCTGGCCCTTGTACACGTGGGCTGGCCTTCGGGCCATGCTCAGGCTCATTTGCCCTTCCGTCTTCAGAATACACGTATCTGGCTCCACTTACTGACTTCTTATAACGGCTAGGAAGTCTCGAGACTCTACAAATGCTTCCTCGGCACATGTCCAGTGCCAGCCATCATAACACATCCGATGCTGAAGGGAAGCACTCAATATGCAGCCGCCCCAGTCATCATTCGCCTTGAAACTATGGAGTTGCACTCGACCTCAGGAGCTACAATTGGACCTGGACAGGATTGCGGAGAGAATTCTCTATTAACCAGCAATTGCGGATGCCGGTACAGTGGTCAAAACATATGTTTAGGGCAAAAGACGTGATCAAATCCGGTCCTGTACGTAAGTAAATTCTAAGTTGTGTTATTTCCAATGTCTATAGACTGGTACAACAGGCAGAAACCTGATTAAAACTAATTTAGGTTGTTCACAGCGATGCCGCCTCATTTGTTTTCAGCTTGTCTGCGGAACACGAGGACAAAATTGTGTCCACACCCAGAAACTACTTCTAACACCTCTGTCGTAATATATGACGAAAACAATTAACACTCGAATAGAAGTCGTTAAAAAGCTGAGTTCACTTTTCTCTACCAATATTTTACCACAATAAGGCCTTCCACTATGTAAAAGCGGGCTTTGATTTGGGCTTAATACATATAGTCCGAGCGGATGGGAAAGTGCTCACGCGCACACATGTAAAAAAACCCAAGGAAATAACCGGGTATCACAACCACAACTCATCCTTTTCTTTCGAAAATAACATTAGTTTGACCACCTACACCGACACTAACAAAGATCTCATTCCACATATGAGGCTACAGTAGTCATCCAAATTGACCGCCAAGAGTTATCTTTATGCCCCCTGCAAAAGAAAAACATGATTCAGTTGCGAACATGACTACACAGACCCATCAACTACAGACCTGCGGAGTACACCCCCACACAAACAGCGCAAAAAAATAATAGATCGAAGTTACTCAAGTTTATCAAGCAGCTGCCAATTTTGCTATGACAAGGTCAACCAGATGTCTCTGATGCTCAGGCAGCAGGAGACGTGTGATGCGTGCACCGCCGTCAGCTCCGTTGCCACCAACAGACCCCTCCACGTCTTCTAGCTCCTCGAAGAAACTCGCTTCACAGCCCGCCAGTACCGCCGTCTCCCACACAAGGTGCCCGCAAGCCACCAAGGCAAGTACTACATTCCGAACACGTCCCACCGCTACGCGCTCCTCAAATTCTGTATTGATAGCACCGTTGGCCGAACAAGGCTTCTGAGCCGAAATTGTAGCCCCAAGGCGCGCCCCAAGGTTCATACCACGCTCGGGTCCAATCCATACAAGTCCATTGCATCCAAAGATAACACCGACACATGTATTGCGTGCCGGTTCCTCACTTACGCTTGCCCCACCACCACATGGCACCACTAATTGGTGACGATGGATCTTCTGTCGGCGAATAAGACTGGGAGGCAAACGTAGAACACAGCCTTCGCCCAACCGACCAGTGCGCATACCGGGCATGTGCAGCTGTAAACTGCCATCTCGATAGACCTCGCGCACTTCCGCCACTATCAAGTCACCTTCCTATAGGAAAGTAAAAAATCCCGAATACTAGGTGTCTTACCGCAAAAGAGGCTCAATAACAGAAGAATGCAAAATCTTGGACTCTAAGCCATCTCAGTGGAGAATTTCGACGCTGTGAAATCCGCAGTAGACATTGGATGCTGAAATCTCTCCATCTATCTTAGTCGTTTAACGCATGACCGACAAGCAGTAACAAAAGTTAAAGCGGTCCTTATACCCAACACACGCCACCCAGTTCAAAAGACGGAAGATAAAAGGGCTCGAGAAGAGTGATTCAAAGTGACGAGGTGGAAGAATCCCTACCCTCATGAAGGAGCGCATAGCACGTTCATCGTCCTCCGATTTTCGACGCAGCTCCCCAGTCGGCAATTTGACGTTGGCAAGAGAGAGATTGGCTAGGTGATACGAGTTAACGTCCACCTTCCATCGCTTCTGTTCTACCTACAAATATGTATTCGCCTTTTGGCAAAACCAACTAAGCGAAGCGATGTAAAGACAGAATTGGGATGCATTACCTCAACAATCCGTCCAACAACAGTATCTCCAACGTTACCGGAGTAGCGGGTATTGGGCGGTTCCACGTAGACCAGCTTGTTCACCGACTTCAAACGACCAGCTAATGAGGCGTGCATGGGGAGAACGGATACACTAGTGGAATCATCCTTCACTGCCGACTGCTCCGGTGTGGTTACCTCAGCAACTTCGCTTGAGTCATCCACGCGATATGTGCCGTGACCGGTGATGAGATTGGCACCTGAGGTAAAGATAACCTCTCCAGGGATAACTATTCCGCGGAAATCTTCCTTCACTTCTTCCCGCCTCTCACCATCTTTACCTCCCTTAGCGTAGGCCTCTTGCAGTATGGTGGGAGTGATACTGATAGGCATTATTCACCTAAACAATAGCGATCGAGCCCAATCCCAATAGTTTGTGTGCAAGTTTGAATTATAATATAGTAAAGCAAATTAACACTCGCAACCAAAGACAGCTGCGGAAAAAATATAAGTCAAATTACTGGTCATAGGATTTTACTTCGAAGCTGTACAAACATACCTGATGCTGCTCTTAGCGGTGTTATCACAGAAAAATGAAATGCAAAAGTGGGATTAAACCAGTCATGAAATTCGTAACTACGACGTGCAAAAAGCCACTATTAGCCTCCTTCTAAGCTTCATACAAAATAATGCATCAGTAAGATCACTTTTAATTTCAATATATCAGACAAACTCCATGGATAATCAGCGGCAACTAACAAAGGTAAAAAACGTGCGTCACTTATTTCGAAAGGGTATAATACAACACAACCTGAAATACCACCGCACAGTACAAATTGAACAACTACCACCTCGCTAACACACCTGACCTTGACGAGGAAGAGTTTTACAGACCTTTGTGTGCTTAAACAAGTGTATAGGCAGCCCTGAACAAATTTGCATATCAATTTTTTCCAAATTAATTATGTAATGGTAATCAAAAAAGCAGTGTCAACGCGCAACAAACTTTGAAGTCTGCAGAATTAAGTGATGGAGGACTAAGCATAGCACAAATATCCGATTTATTGATAGATGTGCCGACAATTTTAAGGCTTCAAGTACATGTTAAAGTGCAATAAGAGTTAAAAGCTAAAAACTTTTTAGGCTTGTTTATTTGAATGACCGTAGGAGTGGCGGACGTCATGTTCTTGGTTGTTGGGGCAAGGCCAAATCAGACCTTTTCCACTTACTTCTAAGTAAAAGTATTTAATCCTACCTTATGCTTTTTACTGCTCTAAGTAAAAGAAAGAAAGGAGGTAGACTTTAAACAGAAAAATTCATTTACTACTTTAAAGGAAGGGTTTTGAATTATTTTCACCTTCTGCTAGTACTTCAGTCCTTTTGTCTGCATAAATGATATCAACATAAGAAACGTCAGTAACTCTACATCTTACCTGTAGACATCTTAGTACGAATCTGCCCATCATTCCTGCACAACTTATCACCACCACCACCACTCTCCAACAGATGAAAATATAATATGGTATATTAGTTGAATAGGTTGATGTAAAGAAATAAAACTCGATAAGGTAAAAAGGAGTTGATTACCATCGTCCTGGTTCTTTTTAAGCTCCTATTTTTATTAAAACTCCTGCCAATGGGCATGCAGGATGGCAACACATTCTTCTTCTGCAGATGATGTTCTCAAGCACAACTAAATCTGAGGATGTCTGAACTTAGCAAATGAAATTAATCACGCACCCATTGAATGCCATCTCAAGTGTGCGGAAGTTTTGGGATTAACTTAGTTGGGTTCCAGACGTATTCTTCCTCACATCAATTATTATTGTGCCGCCAATGCTTGGAATGTATTAAAAAGTTGCTCCAAGTAAAAGGTGATTATGTGGCACTATGAGTGCTTCTTTACTTCTTATTTATGGTTACACAAGCACGTATTCCTCCGATTATAGACTTTCACTGGATGGCGGAGGCTCTGAGGCACACTACTTGCTTTCAGAGGCCTTCTAAAATCGTAATTTGCAACATGCTAACTCTGAATGAACCGAAATTTTGAAATGAAACTATATCACAGTATTGCAGTGTTTTAGTACAAGTCCCTTCTTAGTTGAAAGAAGAGGAGGCTTCCAGATTTTTTTGACACGATTGACACAGAAGTCTCCCCGAAAGGGAGGGTGAACACGTTTCGTTTGCTTCTCACCAAAGCTATCTATCAACCAATAAAATTCTGGCCTCCAAGTCAATATTTGATTGGCTAATCACTATGAAATCTTACAATCCCAAATAAAGACTTGAAACGGCCAATAAGTTACCAGATTTTTGTTTAGGGTTGAGGCAACCTGAAAGAGGGTTAGAATCGTTGTTATTGGAAAGAAAGTGGCTTTTAGAGCAATCGTGGTAATGACTTGGCAGGACTGAACTTGCCCGACCTTGCAGATGGCGCCGATGGAGCATGCAATCTGCTTTGAAGTCTGGGCCGTTGAGATAAATAATTGCAATTCATCTGCTGTCTAACTATCCGTCAAACAATCCAGTTCTCCAACAGAGGAACTGTCAAGGAGCCTAGGCATTCGGTATAATTTATTCATGTTATCAAAAATATGGGTTGAGTTTGCATTTTCTCTATGATCAAATTAGGCCACAGAGAGAAGGCTGTAAAGCTGTAACCATGGTAGATAAAACATTGAAAAAACAGGTCAAGGCGAGTAAAGAAGATGTGTCAAAGTTGAATTCGCACTGACGCTTAATAATGGTCTGCTGGCCATTGGTATTATTTAAGATTTGTAGGCTTCGTTTAATCAAGTGCCCCGTAGACGAGAACATCGAGTCATTAGTAAGCATTTTGGACCCATTTTAAAGACCTGGACGTCTGGCCATCCGTTGCAACGACTAAGTGGTAGACCCAGTGGTTCACTTTAAGCCTGCTGTTGCGTGAGAAGTCATTAACCTGCCTAGGTAATGATGGGTTTGTAGTCGCCCTTAAGAGAAACACATCCCCTTGGTCACCAACATTACAAAAGGCCTTAAGCGCTTATGAAGGGAGGCGCATTGGTGCTACTTCCTTGTCGTTAAAGACAAGCTATATGGAAACAACCCTTTTGTAAAAACGGAACCATTTTTGACAAACGGAAGTGGCGATAACAGTTACCATGAGATGTCAGTTGTAAATTTCCTAGCTTCGTGTCTTATAACCAAACAGATACCTAATGTCGGTATTGTCGATGCATGCTTTTGTTGCTGCAGTGATAGAGAGGCCAGAAAGCCTTTCGCTAGTCTTGCTATAAGCAAGCACAACGAAATTCTTCGACACTTTTTAATTCTAGATATGTTGAAAGCAACATGTTAATCAGGAGCTCGAGTTGCGGCCTCTGTCTCATCAAAGCTTCCTATAAAGGGGCAGCATGAACTCCAAATGATGAGTTTCGGCTCCGTATTTCCCACAGACTGGTCCAACTTCGATTCTGGACACGTAAAGCCCTCTCGTCACATACATTGCCGTTCTTACTGCATGCGAACTTGAAGTGTGGTTGCTGATAGTACCATTCTGACATGTTTAAATCAAACCTAATTTGCAAAGCCATTCTCCCAACCAGCCATACACCAAGGCCCACGTGTTGAAATTGGTTGATATAGTTCATGGTAATCTTGCCAGTGTTTTAGAGTTTGTTTACTATGAGTGATAAGGTAATAAAGGTTTCCACTTGTAAAAAATTGAAAATCAGCATGCTTACCATTTAATAGCAAGCTATAGAAGTTGATAACCCGAATTCTGTGGCTTAATAACAAGCTTGTGATGGCTGGTGGCTACTGGACAGAAGTTTTTGTCCATTGTTTCAGCCTCATTGTGCCCTGGAAGTAATTAATTCCCACACATGCTGCGAGAAGTGCATTTCTCTTTGCCCTACGGCTTAGGCGGCCCAATACATGTAGTCAATGATAACAGAAAGCGCCGTGCCCCTGACTTCAAACAATGTTGCGATCAGATACACGGGTAAAAAATGGGAATAACACTTGTTGCTAAAAGGAGCGCATATATTAATGGCTGACACTTGGGTAACCATCATGATGTTGTACACGAGGACTAGAATATGGGCCATGTCAAAGCCAAATCTCTCCCTTATCTTCTTGCACGCGTGTGTTAAGCCCATTTAATGCTTTCTTCCGTCCACGGACAAACCAAATGAAGCTATAGAAACTGGTTGCTATAATGCCTTGCTTATATGACTACCTGACGTTTGGCGGTAACTTTACGATTTGTCTAACTCTTGTACTCGTGGCCTGGCCTTAGAGTTATGCCCAGGATAATTTGTTCTGGCCTGTTTGGAGTACATGTATCCAGCTTCACTTACTGCATTCTTTCCCCTCGGGTAGAAGCCTTGGGACGCTTCAGTCGCATTTGTGCTTAGTGGGGCTGAATTTAAATAGCTAAAGTACGATATAGGGTAGAGAAGGGTAATTTACCTCTTGGTCCGTTAATTAAGGTGCGTTTATGTTTTTTCGCAAAAATTTCGACGTAAGTAATCAACTGTCCTCCATGGACTAATACTTTACTTGCCTATAATAATGATAAAAATGCCGTTGTTTTAAATTGCCAATTAGTGCTCCGTTTTTGGGTAGACACGATATCATGGAAAGATTGGTAGTCTAGTCATTTTTTGTTGCCTCAACAATATGAATAAGTGGATTGAAGCTCCCAACGCAGCTTTATAAGCGAGACCTTACAAAATTCACTGGTGGAGACTGAGAATACGAGCTAAGCTTTGCGGACCATTAAACGTCTTCGTGCAGGGGAATTTCATGTAAACCGTGTGGGCCCTTCCTTTGAGTTTGCTAGGCAAGATTCATGAGCCCTTTTTATCCACTTGTGGAAAGCCGGTTTAGAGTCCTACATCTATGCAGTGCAGTGTTTTGCAGGAACTGACAAGGTGAAAGCTACTTCCTCTATTCCTTCATTTGTCCAGATAAAGTCAACTTTGTTCCGCAATCTTAGTAAGCTCTGTTGACATGCGTAAAACAAATAGTGGATTCGGCGACATTTGTTGTCATTAGATTCAAAAAGTATCGTGCTTCCGGTTGATGGACTACTATTTCCAATGCTGCGGAACATAGGAACATTTTGCATAGTGCTTTTAATGAGACTTCAATTGCACTGGAGTGTTCTTGAACTTTGCTGAAAACTGAACCTTATCTTTTTGGTAGAGATGCCAGCTATGGGATCAAATTACTTCCGGAGCGAACTATAAATGGGTACGAAAGGGGACAGCCTTCAAATCTCGCTGAGCACGCCAAAGCAACCGCTGCCTTTGAAAATGATTGTTGGCTTCACTTTCTTCCTTCTTGTAGCTGTCAGCTTCTCTGAAGGCATGTTGTGGTCGCATCTGTTGTCTCTCTACTCTAATCTTGTCACCTTTTAGCAGTATTACCGACTTTTATGCTTTACAATTTATCAAATATCAGCCAAATTGTGGGTAAGTGTAGTAGGTGGTATTAAATGCTCATAGGCTCTCCTTAACTATATTTTGGTGGTTCTCACCGCAGCTTACCTCATCTCGATGGCAGTTAATTCTCATGGTCGAGTGTCGAAACGCCTGCGTTGGATGCGTTTCCCTTCTTTTATGCAACCTCTAGTTCTGTCAAAACTCAGGCCCTAAAGTTTTTGATTTGATAATCAGTGATTAATTCTAACTGTTTTGATGAGTAACCGAATTGTATTCTCCTCTCTTTAGCTCGTGTCGACCCCTGTAAGCAGCCGATTGAGGCAGGCAGGTGTCTCGGCTACTTCCCCAAGTGGGGCATGAATCAGGAGACGGGTCACTGTGAGGAATTCATTTATGGTGGTTGTGGCGGTAATCTAAACCAATTTGATTCAAGGGAGCAATGTGAACTTTTGTGCGGTCGCTAGGACATTTGATGGGAACTTCTGGAACTACGCTACAAATTCTGAGCGATTTTGTCATTTCTTTACATTAACGCGCGTTTAAATAATGCAATATGTCATTTTTTGCTCTTGATTTTCGGCCTGAACATGTTGTCGGTCAACCACTGACATGAATGCACAGTACCCTTGTTTTCACAGTCGCACATAGCTTACTTTCATGGAGTGAACTCATGTCGTGTAAAAGGCATTCGAGCCTTTTTAGCGTAGTGCTTCATGCCATCTTAGACGGAGGCATCACCGTGCTGTTGCTTGTGAGGTGTCTGTTGGATGCGCGTAGCCGTGGACGAATGGTTACCTGATATGGAGCATTGACAGCCATCAGTTGGCAGAGATCTCACTCTTTGCGCAGGTCTGTGATTTATTGGTGGATCACGTTGAAGTAGTGTGTGCTTGGTGGAACTAATCTCGTAAATAGAGAGCATTTGTTATTAGAAGAGGGGTAGTTAGACACTTTGCTTCCTTGAGTTCAGGCGTTGAAGACGTCAAGGGTTGCAACTTTTCACTCCCACTTCCCTCATCTCCGACTCAGCTTCAGGACAAGTGACACTTGCCACAGAGCCATGGAGGGTAACGAGTGGATTCAATGAAGCGAAGGCGTTAAAGGGACTGAAGTCCTGTGCCAAAAAGCGCACGGAGTACTGCCCGAAAGTGCTCACTGCACATCGCTCTGTAATTGTAATGCATTCACCAGTTGCTTTCTTTAATTTGAAGAACACATTAAGTACATTTTACGACTATGTGATCTGCCTTAACTACCGTATTCCCCTTCACATGTCAAAACACATTTTATTATTTTTAGTGTAGCCTATGCATGCTAGTTTTTTGGTATGTCGCAGATTTTGTTGCTTTGTGTCGCCATTTGTGCTCTGTGCATTTTATAATTCCGGAAACAATTACCTCGCCTAGTAGGATATAAAAAGCAGAGGAGCAGATCGTTTGTCGACTCTCCTCTTTGCGCACCACAGAATGAGTTTCGAAATCCTCTTCTTCCTTCTAGTGGCTCTCAACTTCTGCGAAGGCATTTGTAAGGCCTGTTTTAGCCCATAGCCATTGAGGCGACCTTAATTTGCTTGGTTTGGCAGCAACTTTTATAGTTTCCTTGCTATAAATTAGATTGCTAATGACCACTTTCAGGAAGATGGATAAGCTGACGGGTTTTTCTCTTTCCTATGCTTTAGCTAAGGTAAATCCTGTCTGCAAGCTCCCAAAAGACCCTGGTCCATGCTATTCTGCGGAGAAAAAGTGGTACTTTAATCCGAAATCAGGCTTATGTCTTCGTTTTATTTACGGTGGATGCGGTGGCAACGGAAATCGGTTCGATAAGAAGATCGACTGCAAAAGAATGTGCGGTGTCCCAGGCTCGCATAAGCTAGGTACTTCAGCTTTTAACGACTAATCCTGCTTGCACATGCTGCAACGATGTCACCTCGAAGACTATTTGGCTTTAAGGTGCCTTCCAGTCGGCTAAAGTGCTTCACATACGCGGTAAAGACAGTCTTCTTGAGGCTTTAGCACGTTCTACCCTCTTATCTTTAGATACTGTGGACCCATGCAAGCAGCCGATTGAGGCGGGCGATTGTATCGGCTTCTTCCCCAGATGGGGCATGAATCAGGAGACCGGTCAATGTGAAGAATTCATCTTTGGTGGTTGCGGTGGGAATGACAATCAGTTCGACACAAAGGAGAAATGTGAAGCCTTCTGCATACGTGGGGAGCCCAATGGCGAAGCAGTAGATTTGCCTGAGGGCACCGACTAGACCACCGCACTGCTGCTGAATCCTCTTCACACAAGCATATTAACCTTGCTACTTGAAATAAAATTTTGTGTTGTGGGATAATAACAGACCACTGACTCTTCGAGCCTCCCGATTTGCACCCTATGCCATCCCCAGGAGAGGTTTACGACAGCTGTACTATAAAGGACAAGCTTGGCATGCTTGAGCTTAGGCAACGAATGGTGTTGTCAACTTCTCGAAAAAAAGTCATATAAGTGCGAGTTACGTTGAGTGGATGGGGAGAACTAAGGTTATTCTTCCCTAAGTCTGCACAGGTTACTGACTTAGGAAGTGGAGAAACAAGAAAAAATTTAAAGGTTAGGAAAGCAAAATGAGTTGCTACTGAATTAGATAAAAGTAGCATGTAAACGCGAATTCAAATTTTCTTGTAGGTAAATCTCAATTATCAGTAAAAAGGTGAGGCTTAAATCCAAAAATCTAAGGACATGAGAACTGACATGATCTTAATGGATTCCTTACCCTACTCTCCTTATGGCTGCGGACCACTTTGGCATTCATCCTGCTGGACAATCTGGGCTGCCGACCAGGTTACAGACCCACGTCTTTCCCTTTTCTCTAAATGAAAATACTCAGCCTTAAGTAATTGTATTTGTGATGGTGGGAACAAACCTTACTATGCTAAAACTTTCACTCCATTTTGCATCGCGTGTGACAAACTTCTGCTGCTCAAATGAGGTGCATATTAGCAGTACAGGAGATTCTTCAGCATCTTCATCAACAAAAGGACAATAGGAGCTTATCCTTTATAAATCCACCAACTTACATTCTCATTGGCGAAATGCGAGCAGCAGAGGCAAAACCGCTGTGATATGACCAAGAAATGTTTGTGTCAGGGCTCCTACTATCATGTTCATGAATAGGTGTTGACGACGACATAACGCCGAATCTTCATTCTCACAGACCAATGGGCCCGTATTCCCCGTCATAAGATATTTTTGGATTAGTATTCCAACGTCTGAGCCATGATACGGTCGCTATTTAAAAGAAGTTCCTGTCTCTAGATCTTGTCGTCAAGCCCAGTTTACATACAGCCCCATTTGCAGTTGTTGGGGGAGACGAGTGCATACCTTCAATCGCGTAAGAGCTAATGGCCGGCGCAGTTGCTAGTGGGCGTTTGTTTTATCAAGGAATTAGACCTCATGGCTTACGGAGCATGTGTATCAAGAGGAGCAGTGTAATATTTTGTTTTCACGACTACCTGTATGGCTAAAAGCCACTCTAGTATTCAGTTTGCTTATGTAGGGTGAGCTGGACCTCGGGTCAATTCAAATCCCGCGTCATCCTCTTCCCCAAAAATGCAGGGATTTAGCAGTGTCTGCAGTCTTCTAATGATAAATTGGAAGTCTCGGTAAAATACAGTCCCGACCTCGTCTAAACCACCTATTTTTAGGAAAAAAGTTGCAACTGTCAGGCATGTGCCGAGACGTTTCTTCGAGCCGGGGAGAGTAAATAGCCTGCAATCGATTAAAATGCGCATTATTTATCCTCAAAATCTACAAGTGTTGCTATGGTGTTTTATAGCAACAAATCCTTTTTTGGGGGAATTTACAATGCACTTTGCAATTCCTTCCTTATAATGTCGCCTTTACAATTGGTGGTCACTTTAGTAATCGTCTTGTTGAAGGTTGCCTGACTTGGTCAACGAGGCAAGCCAAATGTCCACCTCACCTCCTTCTAAGCTGAATCCAAGTACTCAGCCCTCTCCGTGAAATAATTTATTTATGTGACTGCCTGATGTCTGACTAGCGGCTAAACTTTGATCCCTGCCTAGGCCTCATAACTTCTTATCCTCCCGGAAAACATGTACCCATCCCAACATAGTGACGTCTTCCACCTTCTGAAGAGCCTTAAGACGTTACACTCGGGACATTACGTACTTATTATACTAGTTTCATATTATAGGATACTTAAAACATTTTTCAATTTGATGGCTTTTACCATTATTGTAGTTTTGTTTTAACGCTCCTGTGACGTAAGAAGGTGATCGGTGTAACGCCTTGTTTGTGTGACTACCTGACTTTTGGCGGTCGATCTAAGATTTGTCTGGCCCTTGTACTCATGGACTGACCTTCGGGCCATGCTCATGTCCATTTGATCGGTTTTCTTGGTAATTCATGTATCCAGCCACACTTACTGCCTTCTTCTACACGGTGGTGGCAGCCCAAAGCGACCTGGACATTTTTCCAATGACCTCTATCCTAGCACGTATAGGTCGCTGCATGTACCTACGGCGTGGAGGTGGCGCATTTCCATCGGTGGCTGAGACGCTCTGAATCCCTCACAGACAAGCTAGAAACAACTGAATCATGAACCATCGTGTCGGAACTTCCCCTACAAAATCCGTATTTAGGTGTCGAAAATGACACTACGGCTCTCCTTATGCATGGGACATTGGCTCATCCCGTCTTCCTTGTTAAATATCTGTTTTAGACCAGAGACCCACCGCCTAGTCTTAAAAGCAATTGATGGTCATCAGATGTAGACGGCCATTAATCTGGTTGCCAGACCGAACATAATTCCAGTTCCAGTTAAAGCGGCTGAGGGGACCAGCTACGGTTCCTCAGTTTTGTAGTGGCTGTCTACTGGCGTGGTTGGCTCGTGGGCACTTTCTTGTAGTACCGAATATTTTATGGTGGCTGGTGCGGGAGGCTTAGCAAGAGGAGCGCCGAAGATGTCACTCAAAAGAAAGAAGGGGCAGTGTAATGCGACTGCCTGATGTCCACAGTCACTTTAGAATTTGTCTGGTCCTTGTACACGTGAGATGGCCTTCGGACCATTCTCAGGCCCATTTGCACTGTTCCCTTCGGAATACATGTTTCCAGCCCCACTTACCGCCTTCTTCCATCATAGGGGAAGTCTCGGAACTTTACATTCAGATTAAAGCGCACTAATTGCCTCTATAAAAATACTATCTCTTGTCAATAATTTCACTCCTTGTGGGCTCGGCCACGCAATAAGTTTGTAAAGGAGGATCCAGTTAATGGAGAGTTGGGATGAGTAAGTTTTTAAATAGCCTTAAATTAAAGTTGGTCGTATTACCATTTAACAGCAATGAGACGATCTTGTTTTAAACTGCCAGTACGGTTGCTCTTTTAAGTTGACGCGGTACGCGGAGATGAGGTGAGTAATGGAAGTTGGGAATTTTGCGAATCATCGAGTTGGGACGTTGCTAGTGACTCTCCGCAGCCCTGTTTGTTAATGCTGGAGACAATATTTAGGCACCTATTTGCCCACTAATGAAAGGTCCATTCTAATCAGTTATTTTCAAAGGAAATTCGCATCTGGCGAAAGCCCATCAGGCAATTAGCTTTTTCGGTCGTTTCCTCATTCGCTCTAGACGTCATAGGTTTGTCAGTGTTTTTATAAACCAATATAAGTTGAATTGGGACACTACGTACTGCACCAGCTTGTAGAAACTTTCGTACGCTGCTTGATGCATTGTGAATATTTGAATGCATACCTAAGCATGAAATTGTCAAATAGATGTAGACTTTGGAAGGAATGGGTGCTTTGCTGAGGGAAAGGGAGAGATATAAATTCATGTGATGTCTTTCTAGACACCATAGGAATAACTACTGCACTTCTTGTTGAGAAATCGTCCTTGTGAGTGCCTTATGATCAAGAGGCTTTGGAAGAGGACCGTACATTAGTGGCTGTTGGACTTGGACAATGAGCCTTTTTGCGAAGAATAGCACTGTGTGGCTAATTGAGGTTTGCTTTGGGTTTTGTGAAGATATTCCTGAACTCAGGGTGTATTCACAGGTTCATGCTGGTGTGATTTTTTGCTTTAAGGTTCTAATGGTTTGTAGGACAGAAGCGATTTTTGCATAAAGCTGTAGTTTTGCGTTTAACTACAATATTGTATTCCTTTCTGCTTTACTTGAACTTGAAGCCTGTGATTGACAGAAGCTGCAATTAGCAATCCAGATGCCTCGTCAATTTTCTTCGTGTATAAGCAGTCAGGGGTGGGTTTCGCAGAGAATTAGTGTAGGAATGGGTAAACGTGTAGTAGAAGTGACGCAAGAATGTTGCTGGAATGGCATTAAATCGCTTCCGGTTGAGAAAATGACTTTTTGGAATGCTGCGTAATTAAAAAGCTTTTTGGATGTTTCCCTTTTCGCTAGGTTTAATTTACCCATGGAAGAATGACGTATCGTGGAATCAAATTACTTCCGGTATGGACTATAAAAAGGTCCAATAGGGTAGATCACCTACGAGATCTACTGAATTCGTCCTATTTAGGAAAGATGATTGCAGTCTTTGCGCTCTTCGCTCTTGCAGCTCTCAGCCTTACTGAAGGTACGTTCTTGCCATTGTTCTCTTCTGTCTACCCCAATCTCATAGTCTCGCACTTTTCGATTGTCTGACTCTCTTTCCGTATTTTGGTTCACCTTGTGGCAATTGCAGAGAGCTGCTATGCCTCTTCCAGCCTCTTTCGATCTACTTTTTGCCTTACAATTTAGCTACTCCCCTCTGATGAGGTGGATCCTAAAGAGTAATGAATCCTTTGTGTAAACATGAGTTAATGGAACAGCAAGACACAAACTAGATAGACAGGATGTGCGTGTTACCTTTCTTTCCAGTGAATGCATGATTGCTTTTTTCTCCACGACTTCAGCTCGCATTGACCCTTGCAAGCTGCCTATCGAGCCAGGTTTGTGCCGTGCCTACATCCCCAGATGGGGCTACGATCAGGAGTCAGGCGACTGTGTTCGCTTCATATACGGTGGCTGCGGTGGCAACAAAAATCACTTCCACTCGAAGGAGCAATGTGAGAACATGTGCGGTCGTTAAAGTATGCAAACTACGAAGACATTCATAAATGTGCAGTCTTACCCGTCATTCATCAATTAAACGCGCGTTTAACTCATTCATCCCGTTTTTTTTCCGTCGTTATTTCCCATCCTGGGGTTCAGCTAATAAATTTTTTTGCTACCCACGATTGTCTATTTTATGAAGTGGCACCTTGATGCACTTTGGGTTGATTCTAAATCCCATTTAGGAGTTACGATTTGACGTAAAGTTCTTTAGCACACATAATCCAGCCTTAGGTTCCCTCTACTCGAGTCATTATCTGCCTTCCTCTCTGCTTCTTGAACCAATTTGTAGTAAATTTTTGAGACACACTGCGAAATTTGTGCCGTTTGTGAAACTATAGCATAGCAAATAGCGGTAGATACGTAGATATCTACAGTTCTGACATAAAATTGATGTCTGATCCTCTAAAAATCCCAGCGATTTTACACTCTCAACCTCCTAATGGGCTGCGCTCTCGCTTAGTCTCCCTTGTACTTGGGTCCCACTAAAATCACTTAAATATCATTTAGCTGAAAGCTGCAAATGCGGACAGCTAAAATCGTTGTTGCAGGCAGTACCCACTCATACTCACTGACCGTTGGCTGCTTCCCTAACCTTTCACCCTCTCGGCTCCACGCGTAATCACCACGGCTTCTGCTCTGAAGGCCTGGCGTTGGTCACCAGATCAATAAACACGGGACTAGGGAGGCCCACTTACGTACTACCAGGTCGTAAACGGTATCAACGCCGTGAACGTCTCATGGCTATTCGAGTGGTAACGGATGCCTCAGATTCCACCTCTAAACCGGCGATCAACATTGCTCTCCATCTTTTGTACCTCCACGTGCATTCCAATGCGCCCAAAGCTATCGTGAAATGAAGGTCTGCAAAGCATCGCCTTAGATTGTCCAACAAGCGAAGCGACTATGCACATCACGATGACTGATTTACCAACATAGAATCCTCTACTTTCTTAATGCACTTGACTGAAGTTGAAGAAACCAACAAGACTCTCCGCCTTGTTATGCATACACGAGGAGCCTGTTGTTATTTTGTCCTCTCCTACGTTCAAAGGCAATGTGCATAGAAACGAGTGTTTACCCTTATCCCGAAAAATCTTGTAATTTTTCGGTGCCTTACTTTGCAAACACTTACGCAATGGAGGGTTGACTTGCTTTTCTGTTGAATGAAGCAATGATGACACATGCCTGCACATTACATCAAATTTTACTCCATTCAACCTCATTTTTATTTCACTCTTCTCCTTGGACAAAATCCAAATCATAGGCCTAAAAAACACTCATATGCCAACTCATTCACAAATATTGACGGAGAAGTGGTTTTCCAGCTTCTTTTTAGCCTAGACTGCCCATATTTTGGGAAAAATACTCCATTCCATCCTTCATTCCTGTAGAGGGAATGTTTACTTATACGTCTACACTTCCTTAAGTTCAGACGACTTTCATAAGTCATCCTACTTTTACAATCAAAGTAGCGAATTACCTCTTGCGCCCTGCAAATGTGGAAACAAACAACCGCCAGAAGTCAAGGATGGAAGGGCAAACTCGAATCAAGCACTACGATTCAGTGTTAAAGTAAATCAAGTGGTTTTCATAGCATTCAGGGCCTGTTATGTCTTCAAAACGGATAATGAACTAACGATTGTGTGCTTCACCACCACAGGATTTATCACAATGCCTTGCATCTAAGTGCTCAACTGGAGATGGCTGCGTTTACATAGAAAAATAGGTCAATCCAAACCATTTTACATCGACGGGCCAATTACTTTCATATATTACGAAACAAGTTGACGTTCAAAAAATAACTTGCATCAGTTCCAAACGAAGGCTTAGTTTAGGCGATAGAGCAGTGAGTGCGGCCATGCTCACACTTGGATTGACACTCTTCCAAAGTTTCGAAATTATTCCTATTAGCATCGCAACCACCCCAGATGAAAGATCGGCACTCTCCAGTTTTCACATCGTAGGCAAACCGTCTAAAGGCAGCTCTGCCGCGGCCCGGATCGATGGGATCCTTGCAGTCCCTGTGAAGGCCTATGAATAGGAAAAACGTCAACGTGTACACCTTCAACGTTAAATAGTTTTGCTTTGGAAAGATTATCTATACACTCTGCAGCAGCCTAGCTTAGGTGGAATCCTCGTTGCTTATAAAAGAGAAAAAAGAATACCTATAACTGCTCCCGATCCAAAGATTAATATTTGAGTTAGACCATGTCGCACCTCCATAATTTTAGCCATACAAGTTGCAACAATAAACTAATGCCATCTGAAAACCTTGCAAATGCTCCACAAAAGAATTAAATTATCAGAAATTACAAGAGGCTGTTTAGCTGAGACTTTTATCTCTGCTATTAAAGCTCACTTGGAAACGCCAAAGATTGACTGGTTACTTTGGTGTGCCATAAGTACCTACGCTGATCTTGAGCTTGAGCGCACACAACTACGTTTTATCAAAACATTTCTGAGCTTAAAAGACAGTTCTAAAATGCATAGCAAAAGCCCACTTAACGGCATACAACAAGATCATAAGTGCCCAAATGTTACAAGAACTAATCATTAGTACGTAAAGGCGCTTGTTCAAAATTCCAAAAAAAAAACAAAACCCACACCAACAAACGCGATTCTGAAGGTTGACAATGCGTACAGGTAACAAGGGATGCTCAAAAACAACACCACTGACGGAGAGATAATTTAAACGTATGAGCAAGACGTCAAGTTACGTAAGGAAATTAGTTTATTTAAAATACTAAACACAAATATTTAACTGCATACAGCCGTCTTGTGGCCAGTATCAAATCAAAACTGAAACGCTTTCAGCCCTCCATTTTACCATTTTTAGATTAAATTTACATATTGGACACATCATTCTTAATTTGATGAAGATTTTCCCATACCTACATTTTTGTTGATGATCTAACCTAGGGCCAGCTATCATGTTTAGAATTGTAGCGTCCTGAGACTTCCAAACCGGTATAAGAAATTAGTAAGTGCATCTGTGCACATGTATTCTATAAACGACAGGGTTATTGGGCCTGGGCATGGCCAGAAGGCCAGCCCACGCATGCGAGGACCAGACAACTCCTGAGGTGACCGCCAAACGTCGTGTGGCCACATAAACAAAGTATTACAATAATGAGTAATTATGTAGCTACTAAGTCCAGAGTCCGATTCTAACTACGCAAAAGTGATTCACGAAAAGAGCTAAAATCGCTCATGTACATTATAAAAGCTTCAAATTGGTCTAACAAGATATCGCTGCTAGTTTTAATTTTTCCAGACGGTATTTCTTTGTTTTAATCTCGGATAACTTCAACAGGGGAAGGGCAAGGGTTATACTAAGTTCTGCTCTCAAAGCACTACTTTTGATTCGACATTATTTTACACTATGAACACAAAACTCCGTATTAAATTTTACTTTTGTTGATAATCAAACAGGTCACACGCTTAGCGATGGCCTCCGAAATAAGCTCCATAACATTAAAACGCTGTGACCAGCTAAATCCAATGTACAAAGCAACGGCCACATGATGCGTTACAAAAAAACAAACCTTGGGAGCCATACAGGGTCAGAAGGAGAAGGAGTATCAGCGAGCAACGCATGTGAGAGTAAAATGAAACTTGAGTTTTGGTTCGACTTAAACTAATTACTAGTAAAAGTGACCTTCACTAGCAGTGCTTTGGTTGGTTTCAGGAACATATCATTCAGATTGCAAGTGTCATCTAACCATAAAATAATGCCACACTTAATTAAGCAAAGCGAAGATAAAATGAGCTTGCCACCTCGTGAAGATTTTACACAACCTCATCTATAGTTCCGACTAATTATGTAGACATCTCTGGGCTTCCAAAGACTTAGTCACAAATTACAATCTTAGGCTAACTTTGCCTTATAAAATCACAACTTCAATTGGAACAATAATCCAGGGTGTCGAAACGAGAATGATTTTGTGGCAGCCCAAAATTTTTAGTAAAAGACTCACCCAAACTTGAACATTAGGAATTTTGCTTTACGTTTTCGGTGAAGGTGTCTTTGCGGCTTTCAAAGTTATGTGGATAAGGAATCAAAAGTACAAGGGCGCTCATGATTCAGTAAATAAGAACCAGAAGGAATCCACTGTGTAAATAGGCTCTACCCCATGCCAATCCGTGAATTTGAGGTTGTAAACAAACTATCCGCTTCCTTGCTCTCTGGAGAAAAAAGTTTCACAACTACTCACTGTAAATCAGTAGACTTACGCATTTCCGCTACTTCAGAAAGGAAATGGCATGTGTTTAGACTGAAATAAAGTACGCCTCTTATTTTAGTACATCCAATTTTAATGTTTACCACATAACATATGCATAGCATTGGTGAGTTATTTTGGTCACGAAGATGATTAATGTGATTCTCGTTGTTATTTTAAGGGTAGCACAAAAGTCGCCAAAAGATGGGACTTTTTAATTCAATCTTCCCGCTGCAGTTTCCGCCTAAATGAAAAGGCCATACCTCGCATCTTTAACCCCCCCGGGTGAGAATGAACTTCAGACATTAGTACACGAAGAGCATTTTCAGCGCACTTTTTAGGCACGCCGTAAAAGTAGTTTTACTAATAAAATTTCTCACAGAACAAAGCCACACCAACTTCCACGTGGAGTTGATGAAAGCACCAAGACTTAATAGGCGGCCTCCCACCTCCACCTCACGTTACTCATGGCGACTCTCTGGGCTCGAGGTCTTGCAGGCCCTCCACTTATCTCTTGCATAAAGAAATTGTAGCTAAATTTGCGTTGTCTACATTTGCTGTCACTCACAAGTCCTTTTCTTAATGTAAGAGTGAATTGTTAACTCCACTGCAATTGAGGCCTCTTTACTAGTTTCAAGTGCGCCTCAGCTGCACGCCATCGGCGGTTCTCTGCTTGGCGGAAGTGATTTCATGGAGCCAATGTGATTGCGTAACTTGGTAGGAAAATTAGGAGTTGTGGTACATTGAGTTCATAGGAGCCTTAAATTTCTACACATTAGTGCTTTGTAAGTGGATCCAAAGCAATTTTCTACTCTCGGTTTCATTTCAGCTCACCTCTCCTGTGCTAAGATAGGTCAAATGTGTCTCTCAGTTTGCGACGCTTGCGCTCAGCTAAGCACAAATTTGCCTAGGGGAGATAGAAAGAGGTTTCCACGTGCAGACGTGTGGATGTTTGCACTAAGGGTGGAAATTCTCCCTCATTTTGAAAAGGTGGAGGCGAAATCAGAGCCGCGCCTCCTTAATTCGGCAATTTTCAGGCACAATAATCAACTTAACTTGTATCCTGAGGGAACAGCTAAGTTGACATTGATCGATGGCAAAACCACTCCCTACGCATTTGCGCCCTTGACTTCTCACAATAGCAGCGGAGGCGGTCGAGAAGATTTGACGCGGCTGACATAAGTGCCATTGTGTCCTCCGACTCGATGACCGTCAACCGCAAGCCACTCATTTGCAAGTTGTTAAGACAAAAATACGTGTTTTCGCCTCACTTTTGGCGTGATTAAGTCCAACTCCAAGGCCACAGAGTCAATCAGAGCAGCAATTGGCTGCTGCCGCTGCTGCTGCTGCTGCTGCTGCACCTGATTTCGCCTATCTTGAGGAAAGTTTTGCCGAGTCAGCTCAACAAATTAGCATTCAAAGAACACAAATGTAATGACCTCTTAAACAAAGTATTTGCCTATTTATTATGGCGAGTCAAGGTGATGCTTTGTGGATGGCGAAAATCTGGGTGGTTTTTCCCAAACACCACCTGACTCTGAGGCGCTGCAACTTTCCTGCCTCACCAAAATTTTATCAAAATCCAAAAATTCATGATTTCATGCAACAAAAATAGGCCGCAAGAGAGTAGAAAAATAAAAGTGACTTTATTTGGTTTAGCTGTTGTTGTGATACTGGAGAATAACTCGCGTTACTACCTACAAAACGAACGTTGATTGTTTTTTTCTTGGTAAGCCGTATTTTATAACTTTGTACAACACGTAAGAGGATTCAATTTTAAGCTTGCTTTTGTCAATGAGGCTATTTCCAATTAGCATTAGCTGGTGGGCATTTTTTGCAACCACGACGCTGATGTCCATTTCAGTAGTATAATGCAAGCCACCAAAATTTTAGCGAATTAGTTTTTTGCTTTGTTTTTTAAATTTAATTTAGACTTGCCTTGTGTGTAGACTGCACAGGAACTTATAATACTGTTTTTATGCAAGGCTTTCTATGTCACCAGGTTGAGGCCTTCATCCGATGGTTGGCTTAAACCCTAAACCCACACTCCTTTTCCATTTTTCCTTAAACTTCGCACAATTAACTAAGAATGAGCCTAAAATTCAGCTTGTGTGGTTCAAAAGCGATCAAACTCATACTTCTTGCTACCAAATGAGCAATCAACTTGCATTTACTTTGAGAACACCACATAAAAACAAATGCGTCCTCGAAATTTCACATGAATAGAATGTTTACACTAAAACTTTCTCATTACCAATGAGGCCGAAAACTCGGGAAGAATCGGCATTTGATTCGCCGAAGGCTTAATGCCTTAAGAGTGGGAGAGGGGATGGGGTCGTAAAACTGTCACTCTGATCCAACCCCATTTGTAGGAGCCTGGATCAATTTAGTGCCTCAGCGGCAGTGGATAATTCCTCGGCTTTTGCCTAGTAAAAGCGTTTGAGAAGTGAAGCAATAACGATACCTCCTCAATCTCATATCCCTTTGATCAGTGTAAATCCAAGTGGAGGTGTCCACTGACCCCTTTTTTGGGAAGGAGGTCCTAATTTATCAAGCCCGCCTGCATTCGGTCAGTAGATCAGACGCCCGGTGGGATGAAAGCTGAAAGTGGTTTGGCGCCAACGAGCGTCTCTCTCTTTGTAGGCCACAAGGTGAAGAGACTCGAAGTTGACAGTAAAAGGACAAAAATGGATAACGTGTGAAGTCCTTTCCAATGAGTAGTCTCGCTTGTTCACAATTCAATGAACGTTCACAATTGCGCCTGCAAACACACCTACGCGAGTACAAAATCGTACTTTCTCGCACACCACAGAGCACACTCTTTGGTGATTGGTTGAAGCGAGATGCAGTGAGGCGTGTTATCACAGGCACAACTGTGGCGCATTTCTCATCACTCCACACGCTCAACACACTTGCTGTCTCTCACTCTCTCTCCTTCTCTCACTCGCGTGTTTTCTTACGCTCTGACTGTTTCTCCACGCCTGGCATTGACCTTGGTGGTGCTCGTGAAGGATGAGTGATGAGACCTCAGTCCAGACAGTCGTCCACAATGACGTTGATCTGTTCGACACAAGCATTCTTCGCAACGACGCAGAAACAGACAACTCAGGCACTGACATAGCCAGCTCACCTGAAATTCGGCTTGACCGACTGAGGTTGCGCAACTCCTTCGCCTCTCTGGAGTGTACGTTTAGTATCCCCTAATCACTCCCTTCTTCCCCAAGATCACTCGCCCCTCCCCCCTTTATGCTTACTCCGAATGACAAGCTGAGTGAGGATAAGGAAGGAGTAATTAATAAGTAGTCTGTGGAAAAAAAGGTACACAGGTGAGGCATTTTATCCACTTCACTGCAGCTCAAAAGTGGATTACCAGAAGGTGATGAGTGAAAAAAAGTGGTTCCATCAAGATGACAGTTGACTCACTCCCGTTTTAAATGAGAGGAATGTGCAGTCATTGATGGGTATTTCAGATAAGTATTCGAGACTTATTCAATTTTTCATATTTTCACAAGACTGATTTACCGACAGTTTTCGTGTCACCTTTAAGCGGTTTTAAGCATCACCGAGTTGCCATAATTTGCACACGAGTTCACTTAGAAATCACTACCACGTACTTTACCGACAAATGGGTGGACTTGTCACCCCCTCCTCAGTGGATACCGAATGAAGGAACCGCCTGCATCCCAAAGGCTGACTGACAAGTTTTCGAGAAGCCTTTAAATATGCCTTAATCGGGACCGCCTGTGTAGAAGTCGCGTAAAAGCGAATGCCCATTTCGCATTGTCAAAGGACAGAAATCACACAAGGGAGCCACGAACTGCCTTAAAATCCTCACCATGGGCGGGACACTGACGGTGACCTTTGTAAAAGCGCCTCTTATGGCCGCCTAAGGGAAGTGAGTAAGGAGGGTTGAGTCAAAGCAATAAAACAGTGTGTGTCACTGAGACTCAGGCAATGTTAATGAACTTCCCTCATTAGCATAGACTTCTCTCTTACCCACTGCAGGTCCAAAAAAAAAAGGAAAGGAAAGTGAGAGCGACTTTGCGACTTGTGAAGGTGGTGTGCAAAAAAAGGACTTCGCCTTGACGCTACATTTTTTTTTTTGCCATTTGCTTATTCAAATTTTGTAACATCACAACTGACAATCTCGCAGTGTTGTCGCGACCTTCAGACTAGTCGTACTCCAGGCAGGGCGAGGACTGCTGCTTCTCATCCACCCTCGCAGGTCACAGCAACTCTTAAAGTCACATCGAAGGAATGAAAACTCAACCAAAAAAGTTTCCACATCCCTCTTCAATCCTCTTGTCATACGTAAAGTTTGAATTTAAAGACTCTCTTGGAATTGGTGCTTCCAGATTGCAAGACTTATAAGAGGAATGGTTGATGCCATCGATATTTACTAATTTCAACAGAACCTCTACTGGCTACTGAATTCACTTCCTCCTCTTTGCCACCAACAAAGAATCTACCATCCTTCAGTTTGGCTAACGACTCATTAAGAAAAGCTAGGCGATTTTCGTCGTGCCGCCACCTCAGCATTTCAACGCAGATCACGAAGGCGGTATCGTTAATTTTCTGTTGTCAACTTAGGAGCGCATAAAACTCACATCAATGAGATCAAACTCTGGCTACTACCTCAAATCAGCTTGTCATTCAAAGGGCACGAGAGAGGAGCATTACATGATTAACCCTGCATTGAGTTATAAAAGTGTCTAGCTCCACACAGACGATAAATTTATTTGCTTCTCCTTCCAGCAGCACCAAATCGTGGAGCATCTTCCAGTACGATTCGACTGGGAGTTGATGGAAATCATTCAGCTGGACCCTACAGAGTCTCAACTCGACACACTGACTTATTTGCGAGTTTGGCAGAACTTGATGATGATAGCACGCTGGAGCCTTTTTTGGTGAGCCCTTACTTCATGCGGGGCAGTGGACACGCCCCACGGAGTCAACACTGGCACGCCAGTGTCGAGACACCGATACACCGTCCTCCCAGCACCAGCACGACAGAAAACCTCTTTGACCGATACCTCAACAGACTGCGAGTTGAAGACCCAGTCGCTGACTCCGACGTCTTTCTTGAAGTCCCATCCGAGCCCAACGAAACCGAGGAGTGTGAAGACGCAGTATCTCCATCAGACTGGAGAGTGCGTGTTGTCAATAGAATCATTTTTATTAATACCTTCTCATTTAATCCCTTTATTTGTTTCCTAATTGTAGAACAAATGCAAGAATATTCAAGACAGGCTGCGTAGTATACTAAGCTCAGAACGCTTTACTGACGTCTATTTCTACATCGGAGGCAGCGACGGAGGAGAAAGAGTAGGAGATCAAGAAAGCAAAGCATGCAAAAGAGCCAGTCGATGCAATAGCGTGCTGTCTCCACGTCCGCCCATGTGCCCAACAGCCCGTCGCTCAACCGCCTCAGCACAGCGTCGACAGAACACTGAGCAACAGCGCAGAATCACATCAGCCATCGCTCAAGCCTCTGGCAACGCCTCTGCTGTTGCGCAGACCACACCAACGACCTCCGATGCAGAGGATATGGAGACAGAGGCAAGGAATCGAGAGGCGACAGTGGCAGAAAAAGCAAAGACACTAGCGGCGATGCTACTTTCAATGCGAGATACTACGGCAACTCCGGAATCGCAGTCTTCAATCTCCTCTTCCCCAACTTCCAACTCCTCATCGCCTTCTGAAGTGTGTCCATACTTCACCGGTACTACGAATACTGCCGTGATGTGCCATCTCTCTGACATTTCTGATATTGACGTAGAGTCGAGATGTGAGAAGGGTCAAGATAGAGGCAAGAGCAAAGACAGAGCAAAGGTAACACCAAAGTCGGGCAATTCGGTGATGCAACCAACTAACAAAGAACCAACGTATAGTGAGGTGAAGCGGTTCGCCGCGCACCGCCTCGTTTTGGCCATCGCATCACCGGTGTTTGAGGCAATGTTCTTTGGTGCATTTGCGGAGGCCACGACAGCGTTGCGTACAAGATCTCTAACCACTGCACTAACAGAGGCAGACACCACATCAGCACCAGTACCAGTTATGGAAATGCATGTGACTGATGTTACTCCGGCAGTGAGTAAAAAATTATATTTTAGTACCCAAAAGCGTAAAATTTTATCTGGACAAGGTAACAAACACTTCTTGAATTACAAGTTCCACAAAGAAGTAAAGATAGTGAGCTAATCAATCCCAAAAACGGGAAATATCTTCTGAAATGAAAGAAAATTTACATATTTTTCGAATGGAAAGGTGACTAGAAGACACAAAAGCCATTTTGAACCTTATATCTGAAGTCTTGCCGAAATAAAACCCACATAAAAGACAAAAATCAAGGCCCAAGCATTTTAATTGTTCGGCAAAGCGGAGAAACCGCACAAACTTTTACTTGAAGTTAGTGCAAAATTATCATTCTAGTTTTTACGTACCTCAATTATCTAGACAACAAGATGGCAAAGGCAAAACGGACTAAATCAACGCAAATACAAGTGAAACTTGACTAGTTCGTAAGCCAGCTCGTTAAAGGAATCAAAAATGGTATAGTTACTAGGCAAAACACTATGATTTGCTCATTACTGCATAAATTTATTTATAACTAGCATAAATCCAACTTTTTATGTCATTAATTTTGAGTTTAAGGGATCGCTTTAATGACAAGTTGCCATACGATAATAAAAAAGAGCATATCATTACCCAGTGTATGTGCCCTGTTCAGCCTTTCTAATTAAATTAAGAAGTTTCTTAGACTAACAACATTCGTATTTTAAAATGACAAAGCAGGCACCTTGTCAGCAAGCACCGTTGGAATTTGAGCCTTCTTTTAAAACGGTCAGGGGTTACAGTTGAGTCCTCCAGAGGATGAGTAAAACTTTATTGCATTATCGTTGTCAGCTCTTTATAAAATGTCTTAGTTCTGGATTTTTTCCTTGAGATTATTGAGTCATCGAATTTATTTTTTGTCGATTTATCATCATGCTTATAAGTAGGTACCATTAAGTTCCTATGCCTAATTTGCGTTAAATTTTAAGTTAACGGGAAGTTACCTATAATTTCTACGCCCTTGAAAAGTTTAGTAAATCTTCTTTCAGAATTTAAGTCACTGTACTAGGCACTCTTGGTCCTGATCTTTAATCCCTTTAAGCCAACTAATAAGTTTGAAGATTTGAGCGAGCTCCTTGTAACAATATTCTTTATGCACAAGTACAACAGTAGCAAAATACTTCATCATATTAATATATATGTGGCAAAGGACCCCAAGGGGAGACTTTTGAGATGTCTCAGAGACCAATCCAGTCGACTAGGGCAATACCAAGGCTGGAGTAAAATAAGCAATGTGTTGCAATCTAGGTTACCAATCAAACCTTTATCATGGCATAGAACTTTCAAAACGTATTCGATTTCGTCTTTTATGCCAGGCTTTTCAGCAGTGCTTGCACTACATCTACTACGATGACATGACCTTGACAGACGCCCTGGATGACCTCTATGACACCCTTTATGCAGCCAAAAAATACCTGCTCACTCCACTCGCTACTGCCTGCAAGAATCGACTCGTTGTAAGTAGCATGCGACTGTGACACATCTTATCGACATTATGTATTATATGCAAAATCCCCTCTTTTCGTTAAAATGGGAGGTTTCTTAAAAGGCTATGTGTATTCTTAAAAACACTAGTGTTTTGCTTAATTTTCGAAGGCGAAATTAGGTAGGAAGTAAGTGTATAAGCTTTCCTCGGTTTTTTATGCGACTTAAATGGGACGTCTTCGAGTACTTTCCATTGTGCGCCAAGTGGCCTTACGTTTGTCAAGATGATACTCAAGAGCGATGCTGGCTTTGCCTATTCGCCTCATTATTCAAATTGATGAATACAAATGAAGGGTATTTTCCAAATAGGATTGTTTACTTTAAGTAGTTGTAGTAAAACTTTTAATCGCAATCATTTGTATCACATGATTATATACCTTCAAAGTTACCTTTTCACACCGCCTTGACCTCCTTCACAAATCCTCTCCTTCGTTTCCCTTTTGCGCAGTTCTCTTCCGCATAGCCATTGTGCCCCTCTCGCTACCTTCATCCGTTCGTTCATTTGGCTTCCCTCCATTTATCTATCTTTTCAGCCATCAGCGCAACCATTTAGTCATTCCTTTATACCATGACTCCCCCAGATCGTCTCAACTTCATCTATCCACCTTCATATTGTCCTGACGATAACTCATCTGACTGACGAAAAGGGATGATACGACTGTAGTGCCCCGAGATTCCCTACTAGGTAGAAGAAAGCATCATGTTGGACAAAACACACATATTTCAGAAGAAGATGAAGGGATGGAACCTTGACTTGGCCTGAAGGCCATCCCACGAGTTCATGGACCAGAAGGAAACCAAAGTAAACATCAGGCATCGAGTAGTCACACGTTCAAAGCACTGCAGCGATCCTCCTTCCACCAACACACAGTGCTTTATAAATCGGCAATCCAGCTTCCTCTCGTGTAATGACAGCAGGTGCAGTCGCCTCTAACCCCCATTTTACTGGCCTCCAGAATTCACTGACGGTTGGAATGAGGGCTCGACTCCCACCCCATTATTCAGCCCCACTCAAATTTACCCTCTTGCTGGTCCAGCACTTTCCTCTGATTCCCATTTTCATGCGTCATGAAGTGAACAAAAAACAGTCATCTGGCTCAAGCCGTCTATTCTTTGCACCATTTCTCAACTTTCATTAGTTACTTAAGCTGTTGTTGTTGTTGTTTGAATTATGATTACGATGGCGATCAGTTGCACACACTTGTATGAGCACCAACAGCTATAAATAACGACACTTTCGCTTAAGCAGAGGGTCGTGCAACCCCCGTCTCCACACACATCCACCCCCCTCCCATTCCTCTCCACCTCCACCTCCTCAGTTGATTACACTGTGAGAATTCACCAAAATTAATGAAGGTTCTGATCGGGAAACGAGGACCCTCTTTCCCATAGTGAACCTGAGAAACAAGTACTCATCCCATCCAGTTGTGCATGCCAACCTCTCTCAAACACCACAACAGATTGCTTCAGTAGACTCAGTAGGGATCCCATCATCATGTGGTCTAAAATAATCAACCCATTGCTTCAAGACGAAGGTGACACTACGTACTTCTTCTTCTTCTTCCTCCCCCTTTGGTGTCCAACCCATAACTTTAAGATACTCCTTCTAGAGTTCGTAAAGCCTGAAGGCCTTATGTGATCTTCTTTCTGTCAAGAGCTTGATGACACCACAAAACGTACTTCTGCAACTAAATCGATGCTCCACAATGGACGAGGAGGAGCTCTTCAAGATCTGTTGGCATACAATTGACGTGTTGGTAAGTCGATGTGAAGTTGTAAAACACACACACATTTGTAGACGCCGGAAGTACTCACCTCTGAACACTTTACCGATCTGGAGCGTCAAACCTTGCTTAAGTTGATCAGTAGAGAGACGCTGTACTGTGAGGAGTGGGAAATATTTGAGGCGCTGATGCGTTGGAGTAAACTCGAGTGCACTCGTATGGGCATCACTGTGAACACCCTCAATGTGGGCGGCATCATGAAGGAGTTCCTTCCTTACATCCGCTTCACTACCATGTCCCTGGAAGACTTCATTATCCACGTCTCTAAGTCGGACATTCTCAGTCTTGAAGTGGTGAGCTATTTCAAAGCATTGCCGTACTCAGGTCCAACGACATAATCCGTCCTCCTTCTTAATCCTCTGCTTAGCAACACACAATCCTCCTACAAATCGCCACCAAGATGTTCGCGGAGAGCGAAAATTCGGCGGGTAAGAGGACATTGGAGAGGACAAGTGCCATGGAGCAGGAAGGGGATAAAAGTACCTCGCCACAGAAGCGCAAGGGTCCACAGATTCACAAGTGTCGACGCTTCACACGGACAGTTGCACTCACCAGCAAGGAGGCCTACTGGTCGGAGACCGAGTATGTCATCTTCAAGGTAGGCGATCGAGAGCATCCCCTGATTGTAACCCACCACTTGAGAAGGGTTAAGCAGCACAAAGTGCCACTCAGAAACCAAGAAGAGTTGTTTGAGTCTCCCATCACGAGCAATGGCAGGCGAAAAGCCGTCCTCACCAAAGGTAGAGAAAGAAAACGAGTCGTGTGTACAATAAACGGTTTATTTAAAGTAAATTTTGCCAAGGCTACTAGACAGAGGAGGTCTCGTGTCGCACCGCAGAGTGAAAGGAAGCTACCGCCGTCTTCGTAAGACCTGGATGGTCCTCTTTTAAAACCAAGTAGAGTAATGCGGTATGCAAAAGCAGGGCTGGTCTCAAAGTTGTGTCGCCTGGGGAGGTGATAGGTGACAAATAACCGTAGATATTTATTCATTGATACAAAAACCTTGGAGTGAGTTTCAGAAACTGCTTCACTGGCCTTGTAGGAGAGGAGAAAAGGCTATTAAAGCACCTCTTCCGCAATCTGCCTGAGAGAAGCAGCACATCACTCAGATTAATCAGGCAAGAATAGAGACCCTGGATGGAGAGGAGAGGCGTTTTGAACTTTTTTCCAGCAAAACATCCTCTTTCACAGACAAATTTTAGGAAAGAGTAGACCACTTACTGCGTTTGTGGGAAAAAAAACGGATTTCTTTGCCTAAGTTAGAAAGGCTGCAGACGATGATAAGTAATGCAAGCGATTCCCCGAAGAAGGGCTCATGCCTACTTAGTGCATTACCGAATACTGAGAGTATAGCTTAAATAATTGAATTACTACATACTACAGCCTAACAACACCAGAGATTAGATGGAAAACAAGACGAACGGACCCACATACATTCAACAAGGCAGAAAAACAACGTAGAAAAATCCTAAATGGGTCTTTTGACTGGGTTTCCTTTTACAGTTGAAATGGAGGGCAAATAGCGGCAAATAATTAATCAAACCTGACAATTTAGTGATACGAAGAATACAAGGAATGCAAAAGAGATTGAAGGGAGAGGAACAAGACCTCGAAGGCGGTGAAGTGGCACTCAACTCACACGTCAGATTAGCACACGGTAGGCTTCAACATTTGCTCAAATTCGGTCACGAGCGCGACAAGCACCTGTCAAAATAACTATCAAAGTGGCAATCACGCAGAATATCTGAGGCATTCAATAAAGCAGTTATCCTAAAATTCGAATGAGTCGTCAAGACCTGCTACTGAAATGAAACAAGTAGCAATTTCTAGGTTTCGAAACCGGTGTTTCTTGCTGGTGTGGGTCTCTTCCGACCAATGAACAAGGAGACGCAACTTAAGGTGAAGGTAGAGGTACGACAATGCACTCTGAACCAGAACGTTGATATCAACAGTTCCAATGGTGGATTTCCAGTGACCTACCGCAGTACTGGTGTATCTACCCTCATCAGTGGTAGCAGTGGCCATCGGCACGGGCACAGGCACGCTGGTATTCAAATGTCATCTTACCTACGTCCCAGCAACGATAGCAGAAGACGACGCGAGTAAGAAACCCGACCCACAGTCATTAAGTATATTTTTTCCCAAATTTTTAAGCTAATCAAATATGTTAATTTTTCAAAGGTCCTCGAATCATGCAAACAACACGCACTCAAGATTGAGCCGAACAGCGGAGGCGGCCTCTTCACCCTCTACAACCATCCCAAGGACCCTCTTCAAATCCATAGAGTCGCGAGGAGGAGCACTGTGTGGACTGGAGGCAAGCCTCAACTGTGCCCACTCTGCTAGCCCCGTGGTAGAAACACGCTTTTCTCGACCCATCAAGGTGATCCACCATCATCCCCTAGTCTTCGGTGGCCTCACAAGTACAAATAATCACAATGTTGATTTTGTATTATGACAGCTGAGGAGCAATCAATACTACCTGCTGTCGGTGACACCGGAGGAGGGTCGAAACACACGTTGCTACTTCAGTCGAGCACCTGCTCGCCCCCGTGTCGCCGTACGCACCCGCATTCCGTCCGCCACCACCACTGATCCCAACGACGCAGGCTTGGGGACAACAGAACACTCACCACCACCACCAACCACCTCGAGACTCGTAAACTTCGATTTCGCTTTTGGGGTTAGCAGTGTCAGTGGCGATGTCATTGGCGGTGGAAGTGGCAGTGGAGACAAGCACTTGTTGGGCTCCCTAGGAACTGTGGGCGAGGCGCCGCATGTTCCACACATCCTCTTCTTCCCCGTCTCCTAAAACGCTTCCACCTCCTCCCGATCCTCTCAGCCTCTCCTTTGCAACAACTATTTTTTTTTGTTTTATTCATCCCACCCACCTTTTGTACCATCTTACCCCAGCAGATCACATCGCGCCATTTGAGCAATTTTCTTGACTGCGTCAAACATTTTCAAGAATTTGCCCAGGCAGGGATCAGAGACCCCTGGTACGTCCACAAAATCGGTCAAGTGATCAAAGATATTTTAGGTTTTGCTGAGAATAGTTTAGAGATTGGTGATTGAAGAGGACAAATATGACTGCGGAAAGGAAACCGTTTTACTACTAACTCATAAACTGGAAATACAAGTTGAAAAACCACTTGATCACAGAGTAAGTGTATTACCGACCCCCACAACTCTATCACCAGAAATCACACCTTGTCAAAAGTAGTCACTTCCTCGTCTTCCTCCTCGTCGTCATCATCACGTTGAAGAAGAATCCCCAGTTTAACTTTATCAGGCACCTGGTTGACCAAAAAATGACCGTCGTAGTTAACAGAAGCAAAAGTCCACGGATCCACGGGACTCCAGTCAACCGCGTAGATACTCTCCTGTTGCTGTTCCAAACGAGCCAGCACTCCATCCTCCAAACTGCGAAAATATTCAGTTAGGAAAATTTAAGTTCATACAGGACAACAAAATCATCGTCGGATTAATTGTGCAAAGAAAGTGCGAAGAACCAAAGAGGGCAAAGTTTCACACCCTTTAAATATCATAACGAAGTAACCGTAATGGAGTTTAGGGGCAAAGTTATTCCCAAAAAAATAGTAAAAAATCGAAACAGTCACCCTTCAACAGAGATCTCGGACTCCGTAGGAGAAGACCCTCCACTGATGGCTCGGGTTTTACCCGTTTTGCTCAAGTCTCTAGCTTCCGAAGAAAAACTGGGCAATCCGTAGAGGCAGACGCTAGAGTCACTGCTAGCTGATAGGAGCAGCTGGTCTCGAGTCGGATGATATCGTACAGTCCATATCTTCAGGTGGAAAGATAACAATGGTTACTTGGTGTTGGAAATAGGTAAAGAATATTACGGTGCCGGCAGTAATCGTTGTCATACCCAATGTGAATGCGCGGGAATCGTGACGAGGGGCTTCAGTCCAACTGTTCCAGAGCTAACATTCCGGAACGAAAAGTTTCCATGAGAGGTAGCACTCACTTTCCGAGTCGATCGAAGGTCCCACACACTCAGACATCCATCGTCTCCACCGGTCGCCAGAATGTGATCCAAGTTCGGATTAAAGTCAATGTCACGAACACATGGCCAGTGTATATCGCCTAACCAAAGACAAGGCCTAAATGAAATGCAAGTAAGCGTCGTAAAATGAATTACGCTGACAGCAAGTCAAAAGGGCTCTACTAACTGCATGCAACGCGTGTCGATGCCGAGAACGCCAGAATCAAAGGCGATGCCGACTGTGGAAGCGTTTCGATGAGGAGACCATCGAACGGCGTTCACGGAAGCGGTGATGACCCCTCCTGCAACCTCGTCAACTTCCGTAGGAAGTCTTAGCTGACTGCAAGAATCGATAGCGTAGTCACCTGAGGTAGCCTTGAGAATGGCCAGAAAACTGGAGGCAGGTGATACGGTTCGACCGCTCGGAAAGCTGAAAATGCAGGAAAAAGCGAATGAAAGACTTCAAAGAGTGTGGAAATGTGGTAGGGTTAAAAAGAAACGCACTGTTGCGTTCCAGGGAGAGGTGGGCCTAGCACACACAATAAGTCGGTGCATGTTTCGGAGGGGTGCGCTGACACTCTGTTGGGATGGAAAGAATATTACTGACAATATCTCAAAATGCACGATTAATAGGGAGCCATACTTTCTGATTGAACTAAAATCGTTGCAAGGCAGACTGGAGACAAATTCCAACTGTTCTGACGGTCGATCCGCAAAGTCGATTTCTTTCTCGTCCTCCGAGTCTGTCGGTGAGAGCGACTGTGGTGACGGCGGCGGAAGACGCCAAATTCGAGCACCACCGCTCAGATCCGTCTTACTTTCCGAGACTTAATGGATGAAAGTAAATTATTTGCTTTCGCTAAGCGATACAATCATAACCCCTTCTACCTTGCAACTTCCATAAAGAATGGTAAACAGGAATCACCAAAGAACATCCATATTCAAATTAATGACATATAAAGGCATAAGCAATTCTCAGAAGAAGGAAAAACGAACTATTATTGGATCGGTGATGACCCAAAAGTGCATGACGCTAATCTACACGAATAAAAGTAGTCATCATACATTTCCTGAATGAATAGCATAAAGCAACTTAGAAATCAAATTACATGTGTTCATGATGATAAAAAGCAAGCTCAATAATTCAATGAATGGATGTAAGACGTTCGGACGAACTGGATGAATAGACAGAAACGAAGAGTAGTGGAGCGGCGGGGAGTGCTGTCAAGCCAACGACTTCACCGTCTGGGTGGACGAAAGACTGGCTCTTCAGGGTGAACGACTGACAGGAGTACTTTTCCTCAAGAGTTACTAGATGGACCTTTAGGCGAAGCGTCAAAGGAGAGCCATGCATTCACCAAGACCAGATATGCAGCATCCCATGAGCAGTTGCATGGAACATACCTGACTTCCGTTGGGGACCACAGACTGGCAACCGACCAAGAAGCGTGCATTTTCCGACTGGTCAGCGAGTGGTCCAGACTGAGAATCATAAAGGCCAATAAGACAACGCGCCTGTGGCTGCAAACACAAGAGCAAGGATACAATTGAACAAGGAGTGGAAATTAGATAGGTACTACTATATGCGAATTAAGGTACAGCTTCTTAGATGAACAGCTTATTTTACATTAATGCACAACGCTAAATGTCTAGATGCTGAGTCTATAGTATTCTATAGGATTGAGAAAAATACTTACAGGAAGTGAAAGACCTTGCGCCGTCTCTTGCAAATTGTACAACATCGATGAAAACCTAGGATTAAAGCAAGCAACGAAATGTGAACACGACTATGATATGAATAAAATATTATCAACAGCATACTGTAAATAGGAGTGATTGATATCTGGAACAAATGGAGTAAACAAAATGATACCATAACACGTTCCGACACCTAGAAACACACCTTATTTAGAGAAGGCGTAATAGGCGGGTTCCTGATTGCATGACTAAACGCTCTAAATGCAATTACTAATAAAAAATAAGTTAATCAGTTTATCACGTGTTATTTCAAAAGAGCAGTATTCTTTTCCACAACTTAAGGTTTACAATTCTCTCTACAATATTCATTTTTTAATTATATCATGGAATATTTTAGAGGTCTTTATATTTAGCTAGTTTTTTTTAATTTTCGTAATTCTGGAGTTAGTTTGATAATCGAAGTTAAGCGATTGTACGTCTTGAACTGCTTAATGTTTTGTATATGTGTACATGCCTTCTCATTACTTATTTGGAGATGTCAAAAATGTTATCGTCTGTAGCGTCCCGTGGCTCCAAATGGGGTAGTAGAAGGCATAAGTGCGGTTGAATACATGTATTCCAAAAGCAATGGGAGAAATGGGGCCTGAGCGTGGCCCGGAGGCCAGCCCGCGTGTACTGGGGCCAGACAAGTCCTAAAGTGACCGCCAAACGTCAGATAGTCACATAAACAAAGCATTACATCGTCCTCCTAGAATCTGGGCATTCAGTGAAAAGAAATGGGATTGGCACTTTTCGCATGGCCTACAGGCTAGTCTGTTCATCTCTTACAGCCTTGTTACCTGAGTGCACGAAACTTAAACCGAAAGCTAAACGAAGAAGACTTTGGACACCTACCCTTTACGAAGCCTTAGCAGGAATGAATTCTGTCCTTTAGTAACCCACCATTCATTTAATTTTACTATATGACCCTTCGTAAACTATGGATGTTAAAACATAGATGAGCACTGTAGTACTCGGAGACTTTCCAAGTGGAATAAAATGAAGGTATTAATTTTGTCCAAAGTCATACATTCTAGAGAGAGAAAAAGGGCTAAACCTGAACTTGGCTCGTAGGCTAGCCCATGCGTAGAGGGCCCGACTAGGGGCAACCTAATTGCCATAAATCAGGTGGTCACATCAGCAAAGTATTACACTGTTCGTCCCTTCTTTTGACTGACGTTCTCGTCGCTCCACTTTTAGCACCTCCACCACCAGCCATCGCAACATAGTCGGTGCTGCAAGAAAGCACCCACGAGTAAGCCTTGCCAGTTATCAGTTGCCATTAGGCTGAGGAGCAGTAATTGGTTTCCTCGGCACTTTCATTTGGGTCTGGAGGTATGTTCGCGCCCGGCAGACAGATTTGAGACCGCATATATCTGTCTAAAACAGACGTTTAACAAGGTAGGTAGGATCGGACGCAGTCATACATATAAGGAGAACCATGGTGTCATTTTCCACACCTATATACGAATTTATTAGGGGGAATTCCAACACGAAACATTTCACGAGAGTTCACGGTGGTGCTGCTTAAGTTTTTATAGCTTGTCTGGGGAAAACGGGGGCAAGGTGAAGAAAAACTGTGGATATTAGAATTGAAGTTGTTAAAAAGATGTCGACCTGGCTTTCTGCTGCCATCAGTGTAGCATCGCATGACTTCCCACCGGGTAGAAGAAGGCATTAAATTGGATTGAATATATGCATTCTAGGGAGCGAAAATGCATCAATTCCGAGATTGGCTCGAAGACCAGCTCATGTGCGCAAGGGTCACACGAATACCAAAATACTCGCCAGGCGTCAGTTGCCGCATGAACAAAATGTTACATTCACCACCCCAACACCTAACACTACTGAATCCTTCCAAACTACAATTCATCCATAGGAAAAGTGTTTGCGATGTCGCAGTAGATCAATGGAATCCTCATTTTATGGGCCGCTATTTTTCATCCTCTTCAGAACAGTTCCACCTCCTCTACTCTTTGATTCTCCCCACTATTGCTCAGAACACGAAGGCGAGATGGTCTCCCCTCAGCGAAACAGTATTTGGAGCCACAGCACGAAAATATAAGCGAAATTTGGAGCTATAAAACAGCATATGCGCTGCGCCTTCCATCTGCGTGTTGGATTAATTATGCGCGAGGCTCGAGCGACCCCGAAATCTTATTAAGTGACAAACGTGCAACAACACAAACATGCCTAACCGTGTTTTTAGGATTAATGGGCTTAGGCATTGGAACCCCCCTTAATTATTTGAGCGTGCCGCTGACCCCAACACAGCTAATCCTTCTCCCCATACCATTTTGGTAGTGGAACGCATTGAGAGGCGCATGTCAACTCCTGTCACCACTTTGATGGCAAAACCGAAAGACGGAGGAACAATAGACCTCGCCATTAAGCAAAACCAAATTCCAGCAAAAAAATTAGCTCCACTTCGTGTCTAGATGAGCAGACTAAACTCCTTTTAATCGGCTCGAGTAGGGGCAACACTATTATTTGCATAAATAAAGACCTTGCAGATGAAGAGCAACAGAATACATGAGCACACAGAAAAGCACGACATGGACTCTGTTTGACCCAGGGGAAGCACAAAGGCGGACCTCAAATTACCTTTAAAAACAAATCAACGAGGTCATAAGAGTAGGGTAAATTGACAGAAGTAGTTTCATTACGAGTCCTGTAAATCGCCGATCCAGCGCATCTTTGGGCTTACCAAAGCGTCCACGCGCACCGATCAGTGGATCGAGCGATGCACAACAACCTCCCTGCCGAGGCACAGAGCTTGTTAGTTTTTGCTAACAAACCGCCACATCTCCCAGATGCGCAGTTTTGACACTCGGCGGTACTCACAGGACCGCAATGGAACTAAGGCAGCATTCCCAAAGGTCCACAGTATTACGTCTATCATGTGCCTCGGTTTGGGTCATCAAACGCAAAAGTTTGATGTCCGAACATCATTTCACTTCAGTACTCTCATTGCTAAAAGCACATCAGTCGTTATCGTCAAAACGAAGGGTACAGAACGAATTTGCTCACTCATTCTTCCAATTGCTCTTACACCACGACCCTAACACTGAACCTGATTTTTTGTTTTTGTTGCTGATCTGCACGTGTTAAGCCTTACCTACCACCATGTCGACTCGTGTCACCTCCTGCCACGTGACACTCGGTCGCTGGCACAAAGTCCGAGTTCGCCAACATTACCGCTCTAATGGTGTTGGTGAGGCTGAGGCATTTTGCCTGTTACACTTGTACGAATCGCTCCACAATCACCTCATACTGTCCGCGTGAGTTTGTGTACTGATGGTAATGTGCTCGCAAAGTCTTACTCAAAAGCACACCATCCTCACATGACGCGGCAATGAGATCATCTGATTATTCAAGTTTTTTGGTACAGCTCTCTCGTAGGCATAAAATTTACCCCACCGCTAGTTCATATTAGCCTTTATGACCCTGAACTCAAAATGCTAGTACTGACCAAAGCGTGATGATGCAAAATTTGTGACACCATGTGACAAGATCTACCCTGCACAACCGCTGGCCCCACGCTCTCTTGTTAGAGCCCGAACAGTAGATATAACAGCGACCTGTCTGCTCATTCGCTCGGCCACCGCCTTTGGCATCCACCAATGAGGACCCAGCAACACAAATTTTTTTTGCGCTGGCGCCCGAGTCACGGCTATAACCTAATAGGAGACGGGGGGAGCTCTGCGCGAAACCCAAAACGCACCAATCAGAGTGCGCCTGAGCAAAGTATAAACTTGATTGATTATGTAACACATTTGGCATCTTTCGACGGTAGTATCGGCTGCGAGTTGGACGGTTTTATCGCTCACGTAGAGTTCGACAACACCAGGCAAGTAATGTTCGCTGTCCTTTTCACAAATGTTTCATTGCATCAAGTTGCACTAACTAAATGACTTTAACCAAAAATTTCCTATAAATTATTGAGATTTAAAGTAAATATTAACATAATGGGCGAAAGTGTTCGTGCTTATATTAAACTTCTCAATGTGAGCGCAGTGATAATCCCTTTGTGGTGTCCCTTGCCCATACCTTTCTCCGCCCTCTCCCTTCCTCCTCACAGACGCGGTCTGTTCTCAGCTGTGCATTTACGACCAGAGCTCATTGGATCCTCAGTGAACACAGCTCTGACCTTGACACATACCAAATCCGAACTCTGCTCTTCGCGGTTCGAATTTGGAAAGCATTTTTCATCGCTTAGTTATGGGAATTGGTAGACGCTCCCGCAGTCCAGATACGTTGAATTGCGAAGCGCCTGCTGAAAAAATGGCTAAAACTTCAGGTAAGTGGCAATTCCATCCCTTGCTCGCTATCCGGAGAACTGTTCATTTTGTCATCAATCGTAACTTTGGAAGCAATAACTAATGTAGTTTACTTTTCTCCAGTGTTTTGCAGACACAATGCTCTCAAAACGCTTCCCATGATGATTGTTTGTCATATATCACTCCTTTTTTCTAACTTTTTCTCACAAAGTACTCCCCTCCTTGTTGGTTAACTCTACCAATCGGCATGCGGTGAGCTTTAGCTTCGTGCTTGTACTTTCCTGTCAATTTGGTAGTAATGATTGCTTACAGACCCGCTGAAAATCAAAAGGCGGTACCATGTCGGTCCCAAGTGCGGAGCTGACCCGCTCTTATCGATTTTCACGTTCCACGACGCTCTTGATACAGCGGTCTTCATGCTCGGCTCCGTTGGAGCGGTGCGATTCCCTTTGAATTAATTATGCTTTGCAAACCCTCGTCTTCAATCCGTGGCTTGAGTTGTGATTTCCGTCCTTTTTATCTTGTGGCTTAAATGACCAATAGCAGCACTTACAAAGTGGTTGTACGCTTTGCAAAAAAACGTTTCAAATAATCACCTACTTTTAGTTAATCTGTGAGAAAGTTCATTTTGCACCACCGGTGACCGAATTCTGGTGTCACACTGCACATTCTCGCGATCACGGCTCAGTCGAACACGGATGAATTCATTTGAGCATCGTTGGATGCGCAGAAGATACACAGTCAAAGGCTCCGATTAAAGCTCCTCCAGTCAAATTGGCCTGAGCATCAGTTCAGCAACGATCTTGTCATCGTATATAGCATTCATTCTGCCGGGGCTGCAATTTACTCTTTCTCAACATCAGCTTTGGTGTAGTGAAGATGCGTTAGTGTGCACATCGCGTTGTACCTCTAGCACCTCCTTGAGCACCAATTTTGACCCTCTTTCTCCTTTAGACTCTGAACATACAGCCTTGGACAATGTTAAAACCTCCGCACCTTTGAATGTTCTCCGCGATTCTGGAATAGCCTCAATGACAGCGCAGGAGCCCATGCTTTCTAAAGCGCCATCAAACCACACAGTGATTGCCAAGGACTCCCAACTTCCAGTGACCCGAACTAAACGACAGGATTGGTGTCGCTGGCCCGTTTGTAAGGAATACTACAAAACCGGAGTCTGTCCCAATGAAGGTGGGGGAAGGAAGGATGGAACAGCTTGTCAACTGGCTCATGTTAGGGAGGAAGACGAAGTCTCGGTGATAGGGGATAGTTACGTTCGCGTTTGCTTTGAATCAATGGGTCTCGTTCAGGTTTGTGCCTCTCTGCTTCCAACTTTGACCTTTCTAAGGTAGTCGGAATCTTTCACTAGTTGGTATTGTACCTTTTAGAAATCCTATTGACGAAGGTACAATAGTAGAGCTATGTCAGCTATCTTTCGAAAGTTGGCCATTCGTTGATATCCCTAGCTTTTTGACACGACATAATTTCGATGAATAGCTATGGTGTCCAGTGGGAGGGGAGTTGTGTTTGCGCCTAGGTGTTGTAGTTCCCGTTGCCTTTAGCTGCTATTCGGTGTTGTGTTGTTATGCTGGAAGGCCTTCACTTAATGCTTTTAGCCCTCCTGTCAAAGAGCAAAATGCACATTTTTCCATCCACCCAAGCACATTCGTGATCAGATAATCGCAAGGCGTCATGCCCAGTACCTCCAGGAGAAGCAAGTCAAAATAATGCGCAATCAGATTTCCAACGCTCTAATGCAAGTGCCCCCCACGCCGGCTGTAAATCCGTTCGTCTGCCTCACAGACCCCCTCACAGGCATCCCGCTTAACCAATATTTCATGTACAACAACTACGTGATGCCAGACTGGACTTCGGCAACTCTCTTGGCCGCAAATAAAAATCCCTACGCTGGTACCGACGTAAATGTCGCCAAGCTACCTCCAGCAATGAGCATTGACACGTCGATGCTCATCTATCCACAATTCCTATCGGTAATATTGCTACTTTTTCATGATTTTAATTCAAGTAAATACGCAAGTGATGCTAGTTTTCCTCTCAAGCCTGCGGCTCTGATTCCGGCAATGAATTGGACCGATTACTTCGCAAAAATGAGCGCACAGTATTTCCAGCAGCGCACTGAGCCGATCACACCATACAGCTGGCTACCCATGGCACCAGTCAATTCACAGCTCCTGAATACCATGGTTCCGGCACACACCGCGCTGACTTTTCAACCGCTTGGAGCGCTGAACTCGGTCACTCCACCCGTTGGAGTGCCTCCACAATCGAATGTTGTGCCCTCCACGCAGGCCACAAACCAGCTTCCAAATGTGACGCGATAGACGAGACGAGACGAGTCGAACCGAACAGTGCGAGGTTTCACGTTGTAACTGTTTGCATGAACGATTTTCCATAAACGTACTCTTTTTCGTAAAATGTACTTTAATTTTTCAAACCTTTATTTCTCTCACTGCCATGCAATTGTATGGGTTCGAAGGGAGAAGTGAACATTGGCGGTAGTATGTTCGTGTCCTCCCGGGTCCTGTCAGTGTCCTCGTTAATCAGTGGCCAAATCGCAAATAAAATAGAGCACCAGCGTCGTGCAATGCAGATCACCGTATTAGAGTGCGAGGTGGCTTTGAATACAAAAGTGCTCCTCATGCACGCATCAGAGCTGATCCTGTGGCAGCAGCTCGCAGATGTCGGATGAACACACGATGTGATCAGATGAGAATTCAGTGCCAAAGTGGCTCATCGTTTGTGCTGCTTGATTAGTCGGTCAATCAGAACTGCTTGACCGTGATTGTCGACTTAACCATCTCCTAGAAGCAGTCGAAGGGTGGCGAGGACCAGGAGATGCCATTTGTACATTGAAAACGGAGGCTGACGACCAATGCAATGATGTTAGAGGTTGACGATCGGATAATATGTGAGGTCGCGATAGGTAGTGGAGGCTTTGTTTTCAGTACACGTGAGGTCAGAGCACCAGAGGGCTGAGTTGCGTGACACCAATGCACGGATCAGCTTGCATGCTTCAAACTGGTGTGGTCACGTGCAACAGTCATTGTTCCCTCGCCGATGGAGTTGGAGGTGAAGTAGTGTGAAGTAAAATGAAACAGATTTGCTGTCCTTCCCGTCATTTGGTTAACATTTTGGGGGGGCTGTCTAGTGCTCGCATTAATTGTTATTCAGCGTTTCTGCCCGAAAGGCCGAGGTGGAGTGACTGTCGGAATCTCGAGCTATTTTCAATGGGTTCTTCGGCGTGAAGGTCTGCCACTTCTACCGCCGTTAGCACTAAAATCGGAAAGTGGTTTTAATGAGTGATGCTAACATCAAGTGCCAACAATCATTACGGGCATGACAAGATGCGTGTCATGACGACATGTAGGGCCGCAATACAGATGTTTGGGATTCCGGAGGCTTGGGTGCATAACAATTTGAAGTTAAAAAAAAAATAATTTAACCCCCCAAAAACAGCTGATGAAGGTCTGATCAAAGAGTACCAAACGGGAAGGGGGGGTGACGCACTCATGTCACCTCGGCCCCCCCGCATAGCCGCAGAACGAGATCAGCCACGTAAACCGACGTGCTTAATAGTTGGGTCAGAGTCACGGACATGGCTCAGAGGTCACACCATCCAGTAGTGATGCAATGATGAGATTTTAGGATGATTTGCAACCAGATTGGAGGATCAAATCTTCATCCGGCTACACACATCAGATGTGTTAGTTAATAAATTGGCTTTCTGCTGATACAATATTTGACCTCCTGATACCTCCACTGAAGCTGGCATTCCGTTCTGCTTGAGACAAAGGTGAACACTGGCCTGAAAGCACTCTCCGTCATCAAAGAAACGAGCTCAGCATATGTGTGGGAATGGAAACCATGTTTGTTCCCTCCTCTCAGTCTGCATCCACTTGATACGTAATGCTTTTTAGCTAGTGAAGTGGAGGAAGGAGGCATCGCAAGCTCACTTAGTTTGAACTCTCATGCAGTACAATGGACAGTGTGATTGTAATTTACTTTTTTGTTTTATTTTGCTTGTGATAAGAAGTCCTGCAGACCGAAAAGCCTTAAGTAGTTGTGCAAAATGGGAATTGTGCATCCGCCCTTACTACCTCAGTTACAGTACATCGACATTTTTCTTTGCTGTAACCTTTAACACGGGCAGCTGTCGTTTGACATGACTTTTGCTTTCTACTGTTTCCAGCGCTGTTCCAATAAGATCCCCTCATGATAGCAAGTAATTGTCACAATAAGCTGGAAAAGTAATGCCGATGTTCTGAAAGGCTGGAGTGGATCTACTAGCATAGCTGAAGCATTGAACTTTATGCAGATACACATTGGTGAGGACATAGTGGTCTGGCATTAAAATCGAGAAGTGAAGCTTTTTAATTAGTGGAAATGCTGGAAAAATGTAGATTCTGCTGGCCAAGGTAAACCGTCAATCCTGCCGCTCATCGCGTGATGGACTAATTAGGTTTTATCTTCTCTGATTCGCATGTTTTTGAGTTAAAGAGCCAAAGATTTACTCCAACTCATCTAAATCGCCCTTCGTTAGCTTATTCTATTACTGTCTTAGTAGCAATGAGAACCTATTATGAATAAAAAATATTGTGTATGCTACTTAAATATTTATTAGTAGGGACGTATATGATAAGACGACGAATTAAAAAACTCAAATCTTCATACCAAAACCTATGTTAGCCGAATCAGTGACAATTATAGTTTTATCTGCAATGCCTCAGTCGCTCAATCCTTTGTTCCAGTTACGCGGGGCTGAGGACTAGAAATTCTGCAGTTGTTAATGGACCCCTCCCAACACAAATGAAGAATGATCTTTCATTTAAAAAAAATGATACCATTTAGTGGCATTAGTTGCGCATACCCAACAACTTTAGCCGCACCTCATTCTTTTGAGGAGAGGACGGACTAAAAACCTCCGTAGAACCCTCCCAACTCTCTCCGAAGCTGGGAGAAGGCATTTATGTCTCACTTTAAAAGTTTCATTCATCTCCATGTCGAGGACGCCCCATCTAGCCAAAAGCAAAAATGGGTAAGTAGACATTCTGGAGGTTAAGCCGGTCCCTCTACTACCCCAATATCGTAATCCACACTGCTAGCATCAGCCACCACACCGGTCGCAGGACCTTCACTTGCTAATTGTCTCCATGAGGCAATCAGGACTCGTGCGTTTGACTCCAGAGGGCTTCACAAGCTCTACCATATGCAGCGTATCCCCTCTTCCATCCCATTAGTCCACTTGACCGGGCTCACGTGGAAGTGCGATCAGTGTAGCTTCCTAAGACTTCGCTTGACTACTCTCAAAATGAAGAGCTAAAACAGACTCCACCAACACTAAATGGAAGAAATATGGTTCAACGAAAGCTCAAAGACTACGTCTTAAACCAAAATCTGTAGGAGAGGGGCACCATAATTAGGATGTCGCAGTCATGCATCATCGCACTAGTCCTTGAGGCACAATTCGCGAGATCTTCAGCGGACCAGGACGAAATAGTTTACACGGGAAGATGGTCGAAGTGGCTTTTGCCTCACTCTGCTCTTCCGTCTGTTGATCCACCTCGTAATCATATCCCGATTCCAGTCCTCGCACGAGCAAGAGAGTAGTAATGTTAGTCAGAATGCACGGCACCATTCGAGGTTATCTAATACTTCCTCCACAGATGCTAACCTCCGTGAGTTTAAAAGCAGTGCTAAGAAGGATCAGCTAGGAATGATCAACAGTAGCAGGACCTTCAGCGAAAAAGGAAAAGGCGATCGACGAACTTATTAATTGGTTGATGCGCTCAGCACTCTGATTCGGCATCCTGGCGAGCCTTTAGGACGCCTATTTGTAATCGGCATATACAATCTTGTTCGATTCAGCGATTCGACCGAGCCACCCAAATATGCACCAAAGACGAGGGAACTCAAAACCTCTGTTAGCGGTGCATCACTGGAGAAACATCATAGTTTCGTAACTACTGCAGACTTCAAGAAGGTCTCCAGATGCCTTAAAGTGGATGAGGCTTCTCGCACCTTCTGGAGGGCGTCCAAAGTGCACTTTTCCATGTCCAACTACATTGGCTAGCAAACACCACAACAATGGAAGCAGAATAATCAACGCCGTTAGCTGCCTCCATTCGGTTGGCCAGAAAGGCACTAGCTGCCGTTCAAAAGCAGTGGTCGGTCAAACCGTGAGCCTGATGTGGGAAAGTATGGATCCTTCCACAGCCTTATTCTCTCGCATTCGTACCTCTGAGGAGTACCAGCGCCCTTTAGAGGACTCACATGCACGACAATGCAGTAATCGGAAGCCAAAAAACAACCGACAAATAAAGTATGGCAATGCACAACCATCTTGACATCAGTTTAGTCGTTTATGAACGCATAAATTTGTGCCTTAAAACACCGTCAACGGCGTAAATACGCAGTCCGACTGACTGAGGAGCCCACTCGATCACTGGTCCATCCTCTTCAAGATGAAGCTAGGCAGTAAGGTAAAAACCCCACTTAGCATTGCTTTAACATGTACCTGGTCATTGCATTCAAAAGTGTATTAGAAATCGGAGGACACCTCAACAACGGTGAGCAGAAAATTGCAGCTAAACAGTAAAAAGCCGAACCTTGTCTTTATTTTTTGCCAATGCATAGAACATACATACCAAGTGCGAGAAAAACTACAAAGCCCAGTGCTCCAGCTCAAGGAATGATGACTGTCTACTCCAGTTCTAAAATGACCTCTCCTTCTGCAACAATTTGACCCGGTCTAACATTCACCGCTTTCACCTAAAAGGGGAGTCTCATTTAAGCTAACCAGTGTAGAGGACGATGGTTCATCATAAAGTGGAACAGACTGTAAACCTACGATCCCGGAGTGGGCAGCATGCAGGGAGTTGTGCATCTTCATGGCCTCCAGAATGCACAACTCCTGATCCTCCTCCACTGCTTGCCCAACATCCACTGAAATCGACGTTACAAGACCAGGCAATGGGGCCCGAAGAACAGAAATGGGCAATTTCGGTTTTTTCTTCCGTCTGTAAGGTGTAATAAAGGCAGACTCCAGAGCTGCCGCCTTTTCCGGGCGGATTCGAAGCCAAAACTTGCTTCCTCTGTACTGTAAACACACATCTCCAACATGATTACGTCCTCGGAACTGGAAGATTATCGCCTGCTGGTCATCAAACTTCTGTTCAATAATGTCATCTGCTAGAGTGAAATTGTCTGCCACCATTAATACTCTAGTCGAGGCCGTCTTTGATGTGAAGGGTTCCAATTTGACCTTAAAGAAGTCATCCTCCCGAGTGACCTGGACTTTTACTAATGTCGAGTCGTCTGTAGCACTGACCACCAGATAAAAGGGTGTATTGTCCAGTTTTCTGCAAAAGAAAAAGAAATGAGCTGCGTCACACTATCAACCATTTGTAAATTGACCTTATTTTCTGCTCCCCAGTTATATTTATGAACTTGACAGACCAACTTCACCAATCGAGTAATAATTATTACGCCAGTTATGACTTGACAAACAAGTCTACTGTTGGAATAGAGGAAAACTTGCCTCATATCTATGTAATTTCGAATGGCGGCTTTGACATTGATCGCAGAAGCGAGAGCGACTAGTTTATATACCTCTGATTCGTCAAGTCGTGCGCCCCTGAATCCATCTGGATAGGTCTTCAAAAGATGATCAGTTGTGAACTCGCCGGAAACAAAACCCGCTTCACTTACAATATCCCTCAACAGGGGAAGATTGGTAGTCACACCGCGGATAATAAAGCTATCTAACGCCTTCTTCATTATATCTATCACCGCCTTTCGATCGGTGCCATAAGCAATGAGTTTGCAAACGAGAGTGTCATAGAATACAGAGATTTCAGAGCCCTCTGTCACACCAGAATCACACCGTACACCATGTATGTGACTAGGTTCTCGGTACGAGGTAAGTTGACCAACTGCGGGCAACCCGAAAGCCTTTCGTGGATTCTCCGCACAGACACGACACTCCATAGCCCAACCGTGTGTAGAAATATCATCCTGACGATAGAGCAATCGATGGCCTTTGGCTACTCGTAGCATCTGATGAACAATGTCCACACCAGTGATGCACTCTGTGACAGGATGCTCGACTTGGAGGCGTGTGTTCATCTCCAAGAAGTAAAAGTCGTGACTTCTATCATCAAAAAGGAATTCCACGGTGCCAGCGGAATCATATCCAACAGCGCGCGCCACCGCGACAGCCTGGTCGCAAATACGTCGACGTAGGTCGGTGTAAGAGTTGAGAAAGAGGCTGGGTGCCTCTTCTATCAACTTCTGATTCCGCCGTTGAATGGAACAGTCGCGTTCATACAGATGTAGCACATTTCCATGTTTGTCGCAGAGCACCTGAACTTCAATGTGCCTCGGGGCGATTAAACAACGCTCAAGAAGGACTCGGTCATCACCAAAACTGGCCTGAGCTTCAGCTCTTGAAAGCCGCAGAGCTTCAAGAAGCTCTCCATCATTCCTCACTATTCGCATTCCTTTACCACCACCTCCAATCAGCGCCTTTACCATGACCGGATAGCCTGATAAGATAACGTCGTTAGTTGGTCGCAGAAGAGCAGAGGGACTAAAATAAGCAACAAACCAAGGACGTTGGCTATCTCCAAGGCTTCCTCAGCATCGTTTACGGCTTTGTCGGAACCAGGAATACAAGTGACACCGACCTTAGCAGCAATACTTTTGCTCTCAACCTTGTTTCCCATCAAACGAAGAGCCTCTGGATTGGGACCCACAAAACAAACACCCATATCGGCAAGCTTTCTGGCGAAAATGTAGCTCTCAGAGAGGAAACCGTATCCGGGATGAACAGCCTCCGCACCGGTAGTTCTAATAGCGTCCACAATTGCGCATATGTTGAGATAAGACTGAGTAGAGGGTGAAGGCCCGATAGAAATGGCCTCATCAGCCATGTGGACAAATGGAGAGTCAGCATCAGCTTCGCTATAGACAGCGACTGTTTTTATGCCCAATCGTCGACATGTAGCTATAACGCGGCAAGCTATTTCACCGCGATTTGCGATGAGAACTTTCTCAAATTGCTAAAAGTGTCATGATTTGTAACAGCCGCAACGATTTCGAATAATGTCATACTCTTCCATCACTTACCGACTCTCCTGGAACGAACTTGTCGTTATAGTAAAACGCATCCGTATTATGAGCAGATCGGCAGAAATTTGATAGAACTTTAGCGGCAGCTCCGTTGCGAACAATCTAAAAGACGGTGTTTCATGCTCTCTTTGAGGCTCACACTTCGAAAGATAACCATAAAACGACTGAGACCCGATGATTTTCCAAAGTCTACCAGAGCTGGCTACACGCAAACAATCTTGCTGCGGCAAATTTCTTCACACACCTAATAGACAACCATTCTTAGACCACTCGACATAAGCACCAATCAACAGGCGATTGTAAGGTCATTTCGCTTCCAGGGTTGCGGATCGCTTAAAAATTCCCTTCTAATCATGTTTGGTAGGCTTGGCAATTTACCTTTGAATCATCAACCTCCTCCCTCTTAAAATTGGTCGAGAATTCGGGTGTAAATTATATCGCATCCCTATAAATTTGAATAACTTAATTTTAGTCTTGGTCCACTCGACTAAAAAACTAACAATAACTTAAAAATTGACATTATGTAGTGGCAAGCATCACAAGACCTTCGAAATCCCCTTACTTTGTACCTGTATATACATACTATGTGCTTAAGTGGTCCTTACTATGGAGAGGCTCTTTGTCAATTCGAACACAAATCCTGTGTTCGGCGAACGCGAGGAAACTTTGCAGAGTAACTCTCTATATGCTGTAAAAGATTCTGATAGATCCTCTTGATACAATATTCTTTACAGAGCAAAGATGTAAGATCTGAACGGAGGCTGGGAGGCCCTAACAAAAATAATTGTAATACTTTATTTGTTTGACCATTTGATGATTGGTGGTTTTTTAAGACTGGTCTGGTCCTTGCACTTATAAGCTAACCTTCGAGCCAAGCTTAGGTTTAATCTCTTTGCCATCTCTGCCTTTCTCTACCGTGTGGAAAATCTCGAGCCGCAGCAATAATTAGCATTAAATATGACCATAAAATGTGGATATATAAAAACGACTAATCTTTAAAAACTGTAGGCGTAAAATCGTGTTTGGCCGTGTAATACTTTGTTTATTTGACCATATGACGTTTGGCGATCACTTTAGGATTTGTCTGGCCCTTGTACACGTGGGCTGGCCTTCGGGCCATGCCCAGGCGCATTTGTACTGTCGCCTTCAGAATACATGTATTCAGCTGCACTTACTGACTTCTCATACTGGCCAGGAGGTCTCGTAACGCTACAAACTGAATGTCGCTTTTGTGCGCAATCACTAATGTGAATACATTTTAGTTCCGTGTTTATTAAACTTATTTTATTGGTAGCGAATTCTTCGGTCAGATCTTGCTTCTTATCGGTTGGGTCGTAATTTTCGACAACATTCAGTTATCTGCTGGTTGGCATAAACATTGTAACGCCATGTTTGTCAACTACTTATACGACAGAAATTTTTTGGCATTTATCTTTCTATCAGTGACATGGGTTGATCTTCAGATCAAGTCAAAACACCAAACTTTCATTTTCCCCGAAATGCAGGTATTTATGCCTGCCCAATCCCTTCCCTTACCAAAAAGAAATTTCGACAACATTACAGATAGAGCTAAATAATTCAAATTTTTTGGAAAAAGGGAAGATTTTCAGATTTGGCTTGACTCACTGGCTAGCCAATGCAAGTAGGAGCAGGATGATTAACCAGAAGACTGCCAGTCACACGAGTAATTAATTAAACAGAACATTATATTGCTCCTCCCTTCATCTGGGCTATATCCATGAGGCTCTTCTTGATAAACCCCTTGCTCCAACCATCACAAAGGCTTTTTTGCTGTAACGAAGCAGTGTCCGCCGGTCACCAGCTTCCATAAGACAAAGAAAGTGTATCTGGCCTGCTCTAACTCTTCACCTGGACGTAAAGATGCTTTCAGATGTGAGTTTTTCCTGCTGAATCAATAACAATTGCATAACAGAGAATTTTGGATCGAACTCAATTCCGTATAGTAGGATTCAGCGAGGCGCCATCGCCTACGTATATATGCAAATGTGATTAGAGGCACTCAAAGGCGGAGCATTTTATGCCTATCACAGCGATGTCGCCTTTGTCATTAGGTAGATGTCACATACAGACGTCTTTATTAATCCTTTTCTGTAAAGGAGCTATTAATTTTGCAACCAGAAGTATGGGCCCGGTATCCACACCGCAAAAATCTGTCACACTGAGTGGAAATCAAAAGTCTGTAAGGAAGGCAGGTAGAGAATCAGCTGCTATTAAGGTAATGATTAAGGATTCTCATTATCTTGTAAAAGTTATGAAGTTTGATCGTTGGTCTGTCTACACAGATGAACACAAGTTTAATACCAAAGTGAGTCTCAGTATTGCAGATAACCAAAAAACAAGGTTTTGTACCATCTTAATGAAAATTATTTTGTCAAGTTGATAGTTTTAGATGTTTTTCTTTGCAAAGGCTATGTGGTAGTGAGTTGTACAGAAGAAAATGTTTTTCTTCAAGCCATTCCTAAAATAAAAATATGCAAGGCTTTGTTGGACTGTCAGTTTCAGCTGCGACTACCAATGGCACAGTACTTTCTTAGCTACATAGACTGTTTCAATAGATACGACAACATCACTAATTTCACTTATTAATCCGTGGATGTTTTATCTTACTTATGCACTATGGCTTCCCTCTTCCAAGATTTATTATTAACAAACTCCCCATACTTTGCTTAAAAACTTAGAGCGGCACAAAAAGTTCGCCAGCATAATAGCACACCGTAGTTGTCTAAAAAGTTGTTTAAAAGTCAAATCGTTTTAGATGTGATGTGAGCGAAAATTACATTACTCTATGGCAAGTTATACATTCATGGCGCCTGGGCGTAATTTTGAGATGTTTTATGAACGTTTCTCCGTATGACAAGATTACACATTATTATCCCTTCTAAGGTGGAGGCAGCTCTAGCAATATTCCGTAGTAAATGGTGCTGCAATTTGAGAATCAAGCAATGCACACAAAGTATTGTTTGAGTCGGCAAAATTGTTTGTACTTCTTAGGTTATGAATACACACCAATCATCAACTAACCTGTCAGTAGACAGTTTTCAAACTGGTGTGGCAATTCTTAGTGGTTTTCTCACATAGGTAGCTATAACTCTTCCCTCTCAATCGCCTGATTTATTGTTTATATGTCTTGGTATTTGCTACATATTTTCAAGTACGGTCATTGATAGCTGACAGCTGTCTTGTTCTGTTTCATAGTTGGTCATGAGATGCTTCTTCATTTCGAGTTTTTAGATGCCCCTTCTGGACGATGACAGAGTGCACTTATTTATCATTCTCCTTTTAATACCTCTCCAATTTATTGTTTGGAACTATATACACGCCTCTCAGGTGGACACGGAACCAATTTTTAAGCCTAGCATCTACTTTAAGTCCAACCCGTTCTTCTTGTTCAACTACCTTAAAAATGCAACTGTGAAAATTTATCAAAAGGGCATTGCTGGAATTCTGTCCCTAAAGGTACGTTTAAACTTTGTGCTATGAAATTTTACTATCTCTTGTATCCAACTTCTATTCGTTTTTCCTGTCAAGTTGAAGGATTTGTTCGTTTTACCGATATCACTGCGGTCTAACAAGCCAGCGTTGCCGCCACCACCACCTCCGAAAATCATTGAGCTTTATGAGCGTAATCATGTCTTCTTCGGAGCCAACCAACGAGTTCATCAGACTCGACCTCCCTCTCTGCGTTTTTCAGTTGGTCAAGTGGTGCGCCATCGTCTGGGTTTCAAGGCCGTGGTAATCGGCTGGGACGAGGTCGCTTGTGCTCCAGCATCCTGGATGGTTCTTCGCTACCCTCGTCTCGAGAGAGAGTTGGTAAGTTTGTTCAGCGGCTGTACGCTCATCCCCTCTTCTCTCTTTTAACTTAGGAAGCAAGGCAGCAACCAAACTATCGTCTTCTCGCTGATGCGAAGGACACACTCTTTCAGTTGGGGCCTGTGTACGTTACTCAAGATGAACTAGAGAGTCTATCGGTAGAGGAGTTGAAGTCAGAGACCAGGGGCCTTTACCCCCACGAACCTATAATTAAGCACCCGATCATCGCCGAATTTTTTGACTTTTTTGACGGGAAGAAGTTTTCTCCTCGTCCATGGCTTCGACGAATCTACCCACGAGGGTGAAGGTTCTTCTCTATTTTATAATTATTTGGGTCTCTTGAAGTGCCTTCTGGGTGTAGTCAGTGTACTGTATACATCCCCTTCAAATTTTTCAAACCGGGTTCGTGCTGTGGTGTTTGTTGCTTTTGAGTTCTTATGGACAAAAGAATCTAATCTGAAGATAATCTGGCCTTAAATGTTTTCCTTGGTTGCTTTCTTTGATTTTTGGGGTCTTGATAACAAAACTGCCTCATAATTATTGAAGTGTTTGGCATAACTGAACTAATTTACGCATATAAATCCAGAAACCACTTTGATTGTTTTTCTGTAATTAAGGAAACGCACATGAGCAATTTTCAGGGGTCACCCTTTGACCTTGATCGGGCTATACTTGTTAACCAAAAACAAGCAGTAGGCGAATCGGCTATTCGAACACTTTCGCCTTGGTCGTCAAAACGTTTTTCGCCCTTTCTAGCAGGTGGGTTAACACGCGGTCACTTACAAGGAAGTATCGAGGTCAAGGAGAGCTGGAGATACTATTTTTCTTGTAGGCATATTTACTACCAACGCACAGCTGCCAATCAAGGTGCTCTGATCGGCTGCAGTAAACCCCAGCGCCTTTTGATACTTAGCGATTCACGCCTGTAGGAAGCCCTTCACAACGTTGTTCAACTGCACAATCACCATCTAAATCTACTTTCCTTTTCACTTGGATGAACTAGATAAAACTCTTAATGTATGTAGGGTAGAGGTGATGTAGTGATGCCTTCTCCAGAACTATTTCGGCTGTGTTTGAGGCATGCTATTTTTACTTGATCTGGAGTCGTGTGGTATCGTTCTACATCTGCATCTTTGTTGTAAACACAAAGTGGTACACGTGTAGTAGGATCGGGAGATCTTTAAATGGTGCCCACTGGTTTGTTCGTTTCCATGAATGAACTTAGTGGATTAGCATTATTTTTCATCACAACTTAGTTATTACACTTTCATCGCTCCTAATACCTGGCTGGTTTGAGTGGCTCCCTGCTCACCGTCGCGAAGTGGAAAACTGTTTGGGTGTTATACGTTTATCTTTGATCGAGTTGTCTCCGCACTGAAACTGCGTCGGGGTATTCTGCAATCAAAATTACTTCAAATCAATCGCAATGGCTAGCAAAGCAAGCTGGACGGGAACACAATCAATGCTTGCTATGATTCTAAAGTGGAGTTGAATTGCTAGAGATAAAAATAGAGCAGATATGGGTCAAAGTTGGTTTGTTATGCTTTTCATGTTCTTACAACTTAAGAAGAGACATCGCAGTACAACACCTTCCTTCAGCCTTCCACAACTTACTATGCATGAACTCTCGACCCTTTAATTTAACCTCAAAATACAATTTCAAGTTTGCCATTGGCACAATGTGCCTCATAAATTGGCCAATAAGATGCAGACGTTGCACCATTTGGTTGCTGATTGGTTGAGCTGAAAAAAACAATATGATCATTGGCCAGTCGAGTTTGCGTTTGCATTTTGACCCATATGTAGGTTGATTCATTGATTAGATGAAAAATGCTAGAACATATGTTTATAGTGTCAAAGATGTGCAGAAACAAACTAGCGAATTCTTTGTGGAGCCAAGTGTCATCGGAGTCTGGTAGTGGTGTCTTGTTTTTATTTTTAAGCAAAAGACGTTTTTATATTGGCGTCGGGGCTGCCGTATGGTTTGCCGATGCCTGTTCATCATGAAAATATTCACCTCCAATAATATCATGGAACACAATGTCTCTTTGGCTCGGAATTTTGGCTCTGAAGGAAGTTAAAATTTCCTGTACTATATCATTGGCTTCTTGGTCGTTAATACATGTTCCATCATAATATAGCGCTCTCCTTCGAAACTGAGAGATACTCGAGGAAGATTTTAAGTCTAACATCTTCCTTCTACACGAACTTTGGTAATCACAAAAAAATTGTCTCTGCTTTCAAAAACAGTGCTTTTTCGACGTTATTTTCGTGCACAAGGATCTTCTTTCATCGACTCTTATTTTCTTCTATGTTACTATCATTTTACTCTCAAGGTAAACGATTTGCGAATAGTGCTAATGGACCTCGAATATTCTGAGGCTGGTCCATCTACAACGTTGATGAATTTAATTCTATCATGTCCCCCTGAAATATCGCATGTTGATCTTACTGTATCAGCTCTACTCGACCGATTTCGTGCTTTCAGTCGCTGCCATTAGCGCACTCCTCTAAGTCACCCTTAATGTTAAAGGATGTCAAAGTACTGCCGGAGGAAACGTGTGGTTGTGGCATAGAATCTGTACGATGCTACTTCAATGGCTTGGAAGTATGATGTCGAACTTTGGATGCTCACTGAGCCAAATTAAACGATTTCTGAGCTTTCAAAAATTCTTGCAAATGGTTGAAGCAACACTGAATAGAAGGCTTTGCAATCGTGATGGTAGGAACGCTTATGGGCCATATAAACTGCTTGATAAAACCATAATTTGCCTCAGCTCGAGCAAGTGGTAGCACTCCCTCATACATGAAGGTGGTTGAAGGTATTCCTTTGTTCTCGTAATTATGAAATCGCTACAGTTAGAGGAACTTGGATTTTTTGCTCTTTTCGTTATGCAGTTGCCATTACGGTTTTCATTAAAAGACCGCTCCTAATGCAAAGTGACATTCCTGACAGCGTGTCAACGAGGTCAAATGGGAGTTTACTGGTTGTGCTTTCTGGTCCCTTGCATATGTGTTAGACTCCACGAGCATTTAAATGCAACATCAGGTGCTTATCTTAGAGCAAGCTCATTACCACAGGCAAAGCAAGGCTTTAGCTGTAAAAGATTATTACTTTTATTAAATGAGTAGAATGTGTATCACGTGCATGGATAAAAAGACCTTTGGGAGCCTGGTACTTCAAACGCCTGTAACTCAGGTGAAGGAGCCGAAATTTTACCATCCATTCTTTTCTCTTCCAATTATATAATGTCATAGGTATCTTTGCATAAGTATCAATGCATCTGAAGTGCTAAATAATTGCAGTGTCGACATGCGAAAGGAAAGCCAGACCGGCGTAGTTAATCAGGCTAGTACGGTGAAACAGTAAAGTTGTGGTGGTCCAAATTTGGTCAAAGCTTTACTTAAAGCCTGCAGCATTTTTCCCTTCCTTGTATTTACGCACAATTTTTGGATGCTAAGGAGTTTCTCTTAACCATAAGGTGCCAGTTTTGTTCTTTTGGGTCAGCCTAATTACTCAGGATGTAGACATGGTTTTTGGTTAATCAAAAAAAAATTTATTTTATTCATTATTAAACCTCAGATTTTCCTGCGATTATATGGAAGTTATTAAGAATAAGCCTTGTGAATAATCGCTAATTATTTTAGCTTAAGAAAGGAAGAAAAAATTCATTTATCCAACTTTTTAGATGTTTAGTGCTACACTTTTTCTTTACCCAAAGCGCTGACCGCCTACTTAGTAATACTATGCATTTTGTAAGGACAATGCCGGTCAAATCTTGCATTGTCCAATGCTTACTTTTAAATAACCATTCAAATGTGTTAGAAAATAGCAAGGTCGATGTTGGAGCAATAAGCGAAGCGACGCTTTTAGCAACAAAGCACCGACGACAGCTTGTGGGATACGAGGGAGGCAGAAATTGCCTTCGCAAACCAGACGAAGCCAAGTTTTGCGCCAACTGATTGTCCACGTTGTGCAGCCTAATGCTATGCATGCTTTAGGCTTTGGCAAGTAGTCACCTTAAGCCGTGACACTTTCAATGCTCTTGAAGATACCTTAAGGCATAAGTTTTAGCACACAATTTATTAAATGCGATGGATAAATGAAGGAGTTGGATGCTACAGCGGTGAACAATAGAAGAACGACTGTGAGACGTAGGACACTGCAAATCGTAGATCCAAGGGGACAGTAAGTTGACATTATTGTACCATCTGATGTCACTGCAGTCACAGTCAAAGTCGGTATGAGTAATCGCCATCGGTGGTAGGTAACCCCGATATCAACAGCTCTATCAGTGCTCCTCCGAACAAAGCACAAAACAAAGGACAAAGCACTAAATCTGAGGGTAAATGGAACTTTACCAACTACCTTTTTTGATTTGATTGCACCTCAAATTGCTCACAGAACCTCCTTGAATTTTTCGTCCGTTATTTTCCTTGGATCATGTATGGCTGGCAGCCCATTATAAGGCAACCTTGTCTTAAAAGCATTTTAAAACCAATTTTGGGAGTGCATAATTTAAGAGTTGTAGAGCTGCTAAATATCTACCCGATTACGGAACAGAAAATATTATCGCACAAATTTGATGCACTTTGCTCAGCCTCCCTGTTAGTTATCACATCCTTAACTAATCTGTATGGTCTTGAGAGGTATTACTATCCCGCCTCGGGTAAGGTCGAATTGATTCACCGGTTTTTAACAGTCAGATTACCAAACGATGTCTGTAAACCAATGTAGACCTTGTAGTGCTCGAATGCAATGTTTATGGGCGCTACAAGTGCAGTAGGGGAGAACAAGTCTTAAAGAACAGAAGTATTTAGAGTAATACGTCTAAATCCTAAAAAAAATTAGCATTTTCAAAGGCGAAAATGTGTTGCAGGAGGCCTCCAACGGAATATATGAAAACAAAGTCTGCTCTCGAAAACAACAATTGTACCTTCCTACTAACCAGACATCCCAACTTATTTTGTGCAAAATCGCACACAAAAACATTTTCGTCAAGATGGAAAAGGGATTTATGGCATTGGATCTTGAGCCCCTTCTAGTCCTCCGCCTCAGTACTACTGTTTCGCCTGAAACTGAAATTACTCGGAATTTATTCGCGCTAAGACTAAGTTCGAATAAAAGCTGGCCGCTTTATTGCAACTCCTCATTTCACAGTCCTTGCTCTAAAAGTTCATCACCTGTTTGGTAGTTCTTGCCCAGTTTACAATCGGTTGGGAAAAGCAAGCCCTCCGTATTTTTTAACCAGGACCTACCCAGCGGAAGGAGTTGTAAAACTAAGTGGGGTGAAAACAAAATATG